GCATGGCCCAACCTGCGTGGCCAAGGAGGAGAGGTGATGGAAATCTTTATAGAAAACATCTCAGAAACTGTAAACAACACATTTTCTACACAGAGATAAGGACGGAGATTAATGTCTGAATTACCATGGATAATTAGTGTAGCAGGTAATCATTTAAAATCTGGCACATCTGTGAATACATCACTTTGACTGAATTAGAAAATATTTGCAACTGCTACAGTGAAATGGCTTCAGCCATCCCACAGGGAAATCTTTGTGGGAGATTAATTCTCACTTCAAATGGCAGAGATTTGCAAGAGGATTATGTGGCCAGGATGACACATTCACATTGTGATAGGAACTGAGACAGGTTTTTTTTCCTCACAGCAGAGCCAGTGCTGGTTTCTTTGAGTTCATGGATTCTTTGAGCTTGAGGGCTCGGCCCTCTTAAGTGTGGAGTGTTTGATAGCTGAAACGCTGAGCAGTGCTTGAAAGAAAACGGTGACAAGAACAAGGGTGAGAGAGACAGAAGCTCTCAAAGAGAGGACACTGAAATCCCAACTTAGATTCAAATTCCTGAAGCAGCAAGGTCACGCTGGCAAAGCTAGTGAATGTGGGGTTTGAGCTTATTATAAATGCTACCAAAGAGTTGTCAGCTAAGAACAATGCATGAGGCAGCACGGGTCTGGGAGGATCCTCACTCACTGCTCAGACTCAGGCAGCTCCCAAAAATGTGTCCCTTGCCCAGGGGCCAGCAGTCACTGGGGAACAACCCAAACTTGGAGCACACCTGGTGGGGCCACATTCCCCTGATGTCCTGGCTGTAAGTCTCAGGTGCTCCAGGTTTGAACTGGGTACAGAACAGACACTGAAGTGGTTTTTTGGTGCTCAGCATAGGAGGAGAGTTTGGGGAGCTGTAGCTTTGTGTGAGGATTTTATTGCTTACTGCACTAAGGAGAGCTCTAACCAAGAAAATGGTGGTTTCCTGGCACACAAAGACATTGTCAGTAAAATTGAAGTGTCTCTTTGCTGTATATTTCCAACACAAAACTGCTGCCAGGAGCTCTCATCTGATTTGCTCAGGTTCACAAAACATCAAGGTGAATAATTGAGACAGGCTGCGTTTGCAAACTCTGGGGAATTTGCAGCAGCAAAACAGAGAAGGGGAGAAAAGACACTTTGAGCTTGGTACAGAGGGTCTGGTCTGTCTTTTCAGAGAGGTTATGGTGCACTTGTTGCCTGAGACAGCACAAGAAGAAATGCAGGTGGGGTGAAGCCAGCATCCACAGACACAGCCAGACCAGCAGGGATTTGTTCAGAGCAGCCTCCAAACTTCCCAAGGGAAAAGCCTTGCTGAGCTTCACAGCTCTCAGCCCTAGGAAAGCCCGTGCAGTCACAGAATCCAGAATGGTTTGGGTTGAGATCACCTTTTCCAAGCCTCTGCCATGGGCAGGGACACCTTCCATGAGAGCAGGCTGCTCCAAGCCCTGCCCAGGCTGGCCTGGGACACTCCAGGGATGAAGTGTCCCACCCAGCTAATTTAAAAATGAAACAACAAAAAGTTTAAAAAAACCCCACTTTGTGCAGAAAAGCTTTTAAAGCCTTTTCCTTCCTTTCCCAGAAACAAATTTGCAATCCTCAAGGTAGAGATTTGCCTTACCTTCCTCTTCAAACAGCATCCAGCATCCAGTGCCAAGCTGCATCTGCCCAGGACGGGCCCTTTGATGCTGTGCTGGAGGAAACTGCAGCCAGGTGCCCACTCCTGATCCCACACTGACACCAGGCCTTTGATGGGCTCTTGTAGAGGGATGGGGTGGATTTGTCAAAGAATATCACAGAATATGCTGGCCTGGGAGGCAGCACATTCACACCTACTCCTGTGCTGACAATGAACTCAAAAATCCGTCTCTATCCAAAATAAGTGTTTGCACTGTCCTTCAGCTCCTGCCTTGCCCGGAGCTCCCCAGCTGCCCCAGGCAGTGCTGCCAGGTTTAGTTCCTGCTCAGCCCCAGCAGGGCTGTGTAATCCACCCCTGGGCTTGTGGAGATCTTCCCCTACAAAATGCTGTAGATGCTCAGACCAGCAACGTGCAGCTGCCACTGGGCTTTTCCTGGTGAAGAGCAGGGGAGGTTTAGCTTGGATATCAGCAAAAACTCCTTTTCCTAAAGGTTTGTCCAGCTGGCACAGCTGCCCAGGGCAGTGGTGTGGTCCCCATCCCTGGAGGGATTTAAAAGGAGGGTGGATGTGGCACCTGGGGCCAGGGGTTAGTGGTGGTAGCCTTGGGGAATGGCTGGAGTTAATGATCTCAGAGGGCTTTTCCATGAGAAATGATTCTATATCCAGGTGAAGCACAGAAAGTGCAGCTCAGGCCCCTTCTCTCCCCCCTCCCTGGTCCCTCTGGGCTCACCTGGCCTGCAGTGCCCATCCCTCCTCTTGTTTCAGCTCTGCCTGTGTGGGCAGGGAGCAGCCAGCCCTGCTTCTGGAAGGGGCTGAGGCAGAGACAAATGAACTAAAAATGAGCAGGAGTTTTTATTTTCCTTTTCCTTTACTTTTCCTTTTCTTTTCCTTTTATTTTCTTCTCTTCCTTCCTTTCTTTTCCTTTCTTTTTCCTTCCTTCCTTCCTTCCTTCCTTCCTTCCTTCCTTCCTTCCTTCCTTCCTTCCTTCCTTCCTTCCTTCCTTCCTTCCTTCCTTCCTTCCTTCCTTCCTTCCTTCCTTCCTTCCTTCCTTCCTTCCTTCCTTCCTTCCTTCCTTCCTTCCTTCCTTCCTTCCTTCCTTCCTTCCTTCCTTCCTTCCTTCCTTCCTTCCTTCCTTCCTTCCTTCCTTCCTTCCTTCCTTCCTTCCTTCCTTCCTTCCTTCCTTCCTTCCTTCCTTCCTTCCTTCCTTCCTTCCTTCCTTCCTTCCTTCCTTCCTTCCTTCCTTCCTTCCTTCCTTCCTTCCTTCCTTCCTTCCTTCCTTCCTTCCTTCCTTCCTTCCTTCCTTCCTTCCTTCCTTCCTTCCTTCCTTCCTTCCCTTTCTTCCCTTTCTTCCCTTTCTCTCTCATTCTTTTTCTTCTCTCTCTCCTTCCTTCCTTCCCCCACTCCCTCCCTCCCTTCCATGCTACAAACTGCCTTTTTTTTCCTACCCAGGACTTCATTTCCAGCAGCACCAACTCGTGATACTTCCCAGCAATGCTGCAGTTCACCTGTTTATGGGGTGTGATGGTGTTTGAGGAAAAAGGGGCAGGACAGGCTGCACCTCTGAGCTCCCCTGTGGCTTGCAAAGAGCCCCTGTGGTAAACTGGCAGGGGACAATGATGTTCTGGGCTGGTTCAGACCATCTGCAGAGATTAATGTGCTCCTGGGCCACCGAGACAGTCGTTCTAAATCCTGGGCTGCACATAATTTGAATACATTACTGAAATGGAGTTCAGCTGCACCTCACTGTCAAAATGTGAGCATATTTTACCCGTGTCAGGGCGCTGGAGCATGGCCAGAGAGCCAGTGCAGTAATTTTTTGGGTAGATGTTCAGCAATATTTTATTAAACTCCCTGTCCTACACTTCAGTGCCTGCCTGCCAGAGCTGCAGCCCAGCACCCCTCGCTCAATAAGCTGCTTGTTCCAGCCTCGCTGAAATCTCCTCAGAAAATTAAACTCCTGCATTGTCCTTTTCTCCCACCTTGTGCTGTTCTTAGCCTGAATCACCGTGGCTCTGGTTTAATCTGGTGTCAGACACCGTTCGCGCCAATGCTGAAATGTCACAACCATCAGCTTAGCGCTGCTCTGCAGAGGTAACAACACACACTACACCACTTCTGCTCACTGTGCTGGTGTCAGCTGCGTTCAGCACAAATTATTTCCCCCCCTTTTCTGCCTAATGTCAGAATTTCTGCAGAACCTACAAAACAGTGGCATTTTTTCAACTTTAAAACTGGCACAGAGCAGCACGAGATCTGGTTTGGGTCTCTGCAGCATCTCTGGCGGCAGGGAGCTGCCTCTGCCCTGGTGTTGGAGGGAATATGCACTGTGTTACTGGGTTGGCTCCACCATCATTAAAAATTGACTGAATTTTGCTCCCCAAACCCAGCTATTCTGAAGTCTGTAAGGTCAGCCCCTTCCATAGCTCAGCATTCCTTTCCTGGGGACTGTATGGACCATGTGTCTGTCTGTGCAGCTGTGAAATGCTGGTTTTAACTTCCCACCTCCACTTTGTTGGGGTGAAAAACACCAGGGCACAGCAAGCCATCGTGGTGATAATATAAATACAAAACCCACCAACCCAAGAGTAAAATGTCTCCTGGCTTCTGTAAGGATAATGCAGAGGCAAGATGTAAAATACAGCACACATAAAATGTGTCATTTCCTTATAAGAGCAGAATTAATGGAGGCTATAAAAAACAAATCAAAAACCACTATGGAAGACCTTTTTTCCCAGGAAAGAATATGAGAATTCATTTGATTTAGACATGAGGAACAGTGGTTTCTGATAATAAAAGTGCTAGCAAAGAGCAAAATAAGAGATGTGTTTTCCTGCTTCCTGCATTGGTGAGCTAATAAGCACAACCTCTTAAGGACAAAGCTGGCCTCTAGCACAGGGAATTCTCCTTGCTGGTATTGCTTTATTCTGGCCTCTAGCACACAGGATTCTCCTTGCTGGGTACTGCTCTCCTCTGGCCTCTGGCACACAGGATTCTCCTTGCTGGGTATTGCTCTCCTCTACCTCTAGCACACAGGATTCTCCTTGCTGGGTATTGCTCTATTCTGGCCTCTAGCACAGGGAATTCTCCTTGCTGGTATTGCTCTGTTCTGGCCTCTAGCACACAGGATTCTCCTTGCTGGGTACTGCTCTCCTCTCAGTGGTTGGTATTTTTTCACTCCAGTTACATTTCACACCAATTTTTTGATGCTCATCCCCAGCGAGGGAGCTGTAAGGGGTGACACTGTTCTGCCTGCAGCTGGGGAAATCCCTCACACCTCCCCTGCTCAGCCTGGCTCCAGGAACAGCTGCCTGCAGCTGCTGATGGTCTCTGCCCTCCTCCCCCAGGACCACGCGGACATCGAGTGGAAGTTTGCGCGGACGAAGCTCTGGATGAGTTATTTTGATGAAGGCGCCACTCTGCCCCCTCCCTTTAACATTGTCCCCAGCCCCAAGTCGGTCTGGTACCTCTGCAAGTGGATCCACAACCAGCTGTGCCCAGGAGATGACTCTGACAATGAACAGAAGAGGCACGAAAACCTCAAAACATTCACAGTAAGGAGCTCACGGGCCTGTGCTTGGTTTCTGGAGGGTGTTGGGGATATTCAGGGTTCTGAGGGATCAGCAGGGGTTGCTGGATCATCACTTGCTGTCTGGGTTTGAACAGACAGGTGTCTGCTAAGGAAGGCAGGAGCCTCCCCTGAAATGGGAAATGTAAACCCCCTCCCTTTGAATTATTATGATTTTGAAACTAAGAAGCTCTCAGGCAAAGATATGGGAACAGGAATAACAGTTCTTTACTAGGAAAAATAAAATACAAATGCAATAGTACAAACAAGCAAAAAAACCCCAAACTGCCAGAGTGAGAGCAGTCCCTGCCCCCTGTGTGTCAGGGGGTGGCACAGCCCCATCCCATGGGGGCTCAGCCCTCCTGCAGTGCCAGCTGTGGCTCTGCTGGAGCAGGGATCCTGCACAAGGGGGGAGTTTTCCTCTGCAGCTCCAGGGCTGCTGCAGATGGGCCTGGGCTCCCTCTGGCCATGCAGGGCAGCAGAAGCTGCTCCTCTGGCAATGCACTGGGCAAAGGCTGCTGGGCTGTCCCAAAGCTCAGATTGGATCCAGGTAGGAATGCTTGGCTCCTCCCCTGGGCAATGCAGCATCTCCCCATGGGATGCTGGAATTGGATCAGCCCTGCAGGGACACTCAGTGGCCATGGACAGCAGAGATCTCCTGCAGGGAGGAGTGGCTGGGGGAGAGATCAAGAAAAAACTGCCCCAAGGACAGCAGAGAACTGCCCCAGCCCTGACAGATAATGATAGAATACACCCCCAGCTAAAGCTGAGACACTTGCTCAGGGCCATGGGGAGCTCTGAAGGCAGGAGCAGACATGTGACACCCCTGTGCCTTTCTCTTTCCAGGAACGTCATGCTGACAACCTGATTCAGAATCAACATTACCAGGTAAACTTTTGGGCACATAAAGTTTTTACTTGCTGTTTCTTTCTCCTCCTTGTTTTCCAATACTTCAATTCTTGCTTGCTTCCAGAATATATTTTGATAAGTGTAGGTCCTCTAAGAGGATTTAGCTTATCATGGATTAAAGCATTTCCTCGTTGGAGGTGGATGGTTCAGTAAATCTGTCCTTGCCTTTCAGCCCCTCAGAATAGTGGAAAACTTGTGGGTATCAGTGTGGCTGCTGAAGTCAAGGTCACATCCCCATTGCCATCAGGCTGTCAGGATATCCTGATTAAAACTATTTCTGCAGCATTTTTACACTCCTGTGTTGTTCTTCTCTTGCTCTTTTTTGTAAAGCATCCCTAACTCAGACTGTGGTTGGGATATTCTTTTGTTAGGGACAGCTCGGAAAGAGGAATGATTCCTTTATTGAATCTTGCTGGTTTGTTTATTCTCAGCCTGCCTGTCATCAAGTACTCATTAAACTCAACCTACAAAAGGATGAAACTTCATTAAAAACACCAGCTTCAGCCCTTGAATTCCGTGGGATGTATTATGCCAGCACGCTGGAAGGAAAAAAATTCTCCAAAATGTTTGGTGGTACATTAGGCTGCACTGCCAAAAGCCATTAGTAATTTGTCTTACTTAAGACATCTCCTGCTTTCTGAAAAGCACTTTTATCAGAAGTTGGTGGTTAACATAATTAGTCACCTCTGACAACTGACATATGGTGCTTTCTGACTTCACAGCACAGCTTACGGCTGCGACATTGGGATCTCTGAAAAACCTCCCAGCAAAGCCTCACTGCAGACACCATCTTCAGCTTGGTGTTACTCAGGCTTGTTTGTGAAGGGGGAGAGATGCAGGGCAGGTTTGGAGCAGTCTCTTCCCTGCACACAACAGGCACAAACAGCCTGGGTGTGTTTTGGCTGGCACACATAAATGTGCAAGCTCAAAGCACCAGTTTACTCCTGTGAAGCCATCAGAGAGGGACATGAGCAGAGCAAAATGGAGCTCATCCAACCAAAAACATGGAGTGTAGCAGAGAGGTGACACAGAGGAGTGAGAGTCCCTGGAGAAGTCACTGAGAGTGTGGTTTGGCCCTTCCAGTGCTGCCCACGGATGGCGCAGCCACCCTTGAAGGAGTTTCTCCCCTTAGGGAACGCTCAGGCAGCTGCAGATGTGGTTTGAGGTGAATGTCCATTGATCCATGGGATCCTGGCTGTTCTTCACATTATGTATTGCTAACACAGCCTCCTTGGCTTCAAATACTTGATAAATCACCTTCAGATGCCAAATTTAGCCCATCACGATACGCAGTGTGCACATGAGATTGGTGATTGTAAAACCTTTCAGCAGCTGAGATTACAGAGCACATCCAAGAACTGCTTGGAGAGAGCACTCCTAGAATTTTTTTCTCCATGACTTGCACCTTTACAAGCCCCAGCACAAAACAACTGCTTTGCCTTTAAAACTGAGTTAACAGTTAAAAACTGAGCATCCATGAGGTGGAAGCTGTATCACCCCTTCCCAAGGTTTGCTCTGCTTAAAAGGAAGCATTTTGTTTCTGGTGGTGAGTGGTTTTTTAACCAGCAGAGTCAGGACAGCTGCTGTTGGCAAGAGCTCAGGGAAACTCAGCAAGAATAGAGTTTGGGCTGACCCAGCAATTGAATCACTTGGGCTGTTTCCTATTCCAGGAAGTGATAAGAAATCTTGTGAAAAGATACGTCGCTGCAATGATAAGAACTTCCAAAACCAACGAAGGTTTAACTGAAGAAAACTTCAAGGTAATTTATTATTCCTCAATAATATTTTGTTTTATTAATTCAAACAGCCACTTGCAGAGTTTGCACTAACTTGTTAAGGTGATTTGTGATGTGTGGAAATAGGATTGTGACTGGAGATGAGAATGTATCTGATGGGCCTGTGGGGTTTTGTGGGCAGAGTGAGTTATTACTGAGTGTCTTCCTATATGACCACCTCCCATATTTTAATATACAATGTGCTACGCAGACAAAAGCATTGGAAAAGAGTAGGAGTGAAAGATGTGATTTGAGTCAAGAGCATATTCCCAATCCTAATGCAGACAGAGCCAAAGAATGGGTTGGGGTTGGTGGATATTAAGAACACTCACCAGCAAATGTAAATTTGGGCCTATCAGCCAGACAGGATTCCTGCCATATTTCAGCAGTTTTCCCTTTTCTGTAACTCTTTTATCTGACTTTCTGGGGTGTGCAGGGGGCATTGATCAACAGGGCCAGTCCCCAGCCTTTGGAGACAAAAGCCTTGTCCCCAGTTCTCAGCACTACCAGCACCTTTCTGTGTGACACTGGACGTGGGTGTGATGTTCTTGTGTGATTTGGTACCAGCCACTGGCACAACTGAGCCCTCCCGAGGGAGTGTGGTCATTCCTTCATGTCAGATAAGGCTGCTGGGAGTAACTGCTGTCTCCTCTTGCCCCAGGAATTAAAACAGGACATCTCGAGCTTTCGCTATGAAGTTCTTGACCTCTTAGGCAACAGGAAGCCCCAGAGGAGAAGTTACTCTACAAGCAGCACAGAGGTGTCCCAAAAGGAGGAGACAAATGAGGACAATGCTGGAGAAAAACCCAGAGCCAAGAGCGTGTCCTTCAATGTAGCCAACAAGAAGAAGGACTTCAACGTGTCTGCCCTGATTAAAACCATGTCTGGGATCAACATGGTGGAGGAGAAGCCAAAAAGCAACGGGATCAGCAAGCGCTCGTTCGTGCGCAACGGGAACCGGGTGCAGAGACTCTCCAGCTCCAAGAAGGAATCCTTCAAGAGGCTGGGCCTGCTCTTCTCCAAGATGAACGGCCACGTCCCCGAGCCCAGCTCAGAACCCATGTACACCATCTCAGACGGGATCATCCAGCCACACTACATGTGGAAAGACATTAAATATTCTCCCATGGACAGAGAGAGAGAAGAGAATTGTTCCAAAAGTGAAATTAACCTCAATGAGGTGGCCTACAGTGGGAACACGAGACTCACAGGACAGAGCAAGGAGTGCCCTGTGGTTTGTACCAGTTCCCTTCACTGTGCTTCCAGTATTTGTTCCTCTAACTCCAAACTTATAGACTCGTCAGAGGATGTGTTTGATTCGTGGGGAGAGGCCTGTGACTTGTTTATAAACCAGTGGAAAGATGGGCAGGAGGATCACGTTACCACTCGGCTCTGAGCAAAGCTCTCTTAACTCTCACTGCAAAACTCAGCCAAGTATTGGTAATTGTTTGCTCTCATCTGGTTCAGCATCACTGTTTCCTTTCTGTCCACAGGTGAAAAAAAAGTGTAAACCTACTTATGTTGTAGCCTATTTTATAGCCATCTGCACCTTTTTTAATTTACTTTTTTTTTTTTTACACTCACTAATACTAAACGAATGGTTTCACCATTTATAAGGTTGCCATAAACCACAGGAATCCCTTTGGATGCAGTCCTAGTCTCCAAACCCCACAGACCTGAGGCATGCAGGTGGCTGAGGAAAGGATTTCTCCAGTGCTCCCATCATCATCCCACCCCAGCTGGGTGTCAGTGCTGCTGTCCAGCATCATTGGCTCTGCATCCTGCTCAGTGTTCCTCATCAACACAAACAGCTGTTCAGCAGGAGGCTGAGAATTACACTGAAAATGTTTTTTTTAAAAGGGTTTTGACCTATAACTGGTGTTTTTTTGTTTCCTTTAAGCAATATGACTTCTTTTGGTTGTGCTTGTTTTTTCAGGCCACTATATTAATATTGTAAACTATTACTGAATATGAAACCCCTTTGATCATCCACCTGGAACATGTTTTTGTTGCTAACATATTTGCTTATTTACCTAATTTCCCTTTTGGGGAGCAGAAGGACCTTCCAATTAGGCTGACAGTGGGAGCCAGCACCTGGCCTTGCCTCCAACTCCTGTGTAGATGAACTGAAAAGAAAACAACCCAAAACAACCCTGGCTGCTTGAAATACAAACCTCAGAATAGTTTCCAATAGGCTGAACCAAAACCCAGCTCTAAGCCTTGCCCTTATTTTGCAATTCTTGATTTTACTTCCAGCGCTGCATTCACTTTTTGCTGCCTCTCTGATGGGTGCCAGGGGAAATCCATCTCCTGAGGGAGGGCATCTTCCCTGGGCCCCTGAGCTGCAGGTCTGAAAAGCAGCCTGAGCAAGAGCTGCAGCAGCATGGAACAGCTCTGCAGGTCCTTCTCTGAGCTGCAACAAAAGCAGTGTGCCAGGAGGAGGATCTTTTATTTTCCCAGCTGTGGAGATGTCTGGACAGAGCGTAGCACTGTCACTGCTGCTGTCCCAAGGAGCATCAGAGGGGGGAGAAAAACCCCATCAAGGGCAAGGTGGTTGAATTCTTAACAGGGATTTTTTAGGGGGTTTTATTTTAATTTTTTAACAATGGGATACTTGAACTTCTGCAGTCTTGCTAAGATGCACAGATGATCGGCACTCACCTCTGAGCTGTTCTTGGTCAGCTGCTTCCTTGGAGGGAGCAGGTCCTGCCCAGGAGCTCGGGAATGGGTTCATTCCTGTCCCCACTCCTGTCCCATTCCTGTCCCCATTCCTGTCCCCATTCCTGTCCCCACTCCTGGCCCCACTCCTGTCCCCACTCCTGTCCCCATTCCTGCCCTCCTGCAGGGCTCTGCTCCCTGGAGGGGCTGTGGAGCTCCAGCATTTCCCCAGGGTGGCTGCCAGCAGTCACCTCACCTGGGAGCTGGGTTGTGAATTGCCTCTGGAGGAACAGAATGCTGGAAAATCCACACCTGCCCCTGGAGCAGGTCAGACTCCAGCAGCAGGGGCAGGAGAGCTCTGCTGGCAGCACGGAGGCTCAGGGGGATGGGAGGTGCACCTGAGCGCTCTGCCCAAATTTTAACCCTGCCTCCCTCCTCTTGTAGGGGAAAACTCCCCTTGTGGAACTTTTCCTTTGGGCACTTGTGCAGCTTCACCCAGCAAGTGGAACACAGAGAGAAAAGTGGGTGCTGCAGCAGGTGCTGGGGCAGAGCTGAGGCGCCAGCACCCCAAAACCAGGGCAGTGTTCAGTGCAGAGCCAGGGCAGTGTTCAGTGCAGAGCCAGGGCAGTGTTCAGTGTTCATTGCAGACCCAGGGCAGTGTTCAGTGCAGACCCAGGGCAGTGTTCAGTGTTCATTGCAGACCCAGGGCAGTGTTCAGTGCAGACCCAGGACAGTGTTCAGTGTTCAGTGTTCACTGCAGACCCAGGGCAGTGTTCAGTGCAGAGCCAGGGCAGTGTTCAGTGTTCACTGCAGACACAGGGCAGTGTTCAGTGCAGAGCCAGGGCAGTGTTCAGTGTTCACTGCAGACCCAGGGCAGTGCTCACTGCAGACCCAGGGCAATGTTCAGTGCAGAGCCAGGGCAGTGTTCATTGCAGACCCAGGGCAGTGTTCATTGCAGACCCAGGGCAGTGTTCAGTGTTCAGTGTTCACTGCAGACCCAGGGCAATGTTCAGTGCTCACTGCAGACCCAGGGTAATGTTCAGTGCTCACTGCAGACCCAGGGCAGTGTTCAGTGTTCAGTGCAGAGCCAGGGCAGTGTTCAGTACAGACGCAGGGCAGTGTTCAGTGTTCACTGCAGACCCAGGGCAATGTTCAGTGTTCACTGCAGACCAGGGCAGTGTTCAGTGTTCAGTGCAGACCCAGGGCAATGTTCAGTGTTCATTGCAGACCCAGGGCAATGTTCAGTGTTCACTGCAGACCCAGGGCAGTGTTCAGTGTTCAGTGCAGACCCTGTGGCTCCAGGGCAGCCCTGGGGTTGGGATAAACCAGCAGCAAGGAGCAGACACTCCAAGGCATTTCTGTATTCCTTGCTTATAATGACAGCAGTCTTGTTCTCAGCAGGCAGTGTAGAACCCCAAATATTTAAGCCTCTGGGTGTGTTAGTTAAGGCAGAGTGAAAGGCATTTTTGTATCAACAGATTTTGGGCTTTCACACTAATTGCAGGGTTAGAGTTGTCTTTGAAAACTGCATTTCCTCTTCCCTCATGGAAGGCTGAGCAAACTGACATTGGTGGTACACGAGGAGACTTGCAAAACCCGGGGGGGGAGCAGCTTGCTGAACATTCCCTCAGGAAATCAGGCACCCCTGGCTGGGGGAGCAAATCCATGGATGGGGGAGAGCCACGGGCAGAGCCCAGCAAGGCAATGGTCACAATAAAAGCCCCACAGGTCAGGAAACCAAACTGAGCACATTTCTGCAAAGATAAACATGAGCAGGAGCTGCTGCAGGGGGATGGGTTTGGGTGCTTTGGTGCCTCACCTAACCCAGTCTGCAGTCTGGGAACTCTGCTTGACGTGGGGCCAGAGAATCTCTGTGGCATTTCCTGGGTAAGGAGGAAGAATGAAAACAATTCAAGTACAGTTATGCAGATTACATCAAATTGGGCCAGAAGCTGGGTTTGTGTCCTTGGACAGCAGAAAGGCTTTGAAGTGTTCAGCCAGAGCAAGCACCCAGCGCTGGTGACGCTCACACGGTGTCACTCCAGTGCATTACCAGGAACAAACAGCACAAAGAGACGGAATTAACTCAGCAGTGCTGCCCCAAAAATGCAAAAATCCCTTCCCTGCAGGCTGTGTGAGTCAGGTTCGCCTGCTGGTGCAGAAAGGGCAGGGCTGGGAGCTGCCCATGGCAGTGGAGGGCGGATCTGGAGGGGGAGATGCTCTCTGGTCCCCTGGCTGGGGCTCCCCTGGGCTTTGTTTCATGACTGAGATCCTTCCTTGCTCCCAGCTCCCAGCGAGTCTGAGCTGACTCTGGAATTCAACACCAATATTTGATTTGGCTGTGATTAATACACATGTCCAGGAATTTGAAAAACTCAAATTGGTCCCCCCAAAAGGCAAAATTCTCTTTGATTGCATCTATGCATCCCTGTTGATAGCAATAGACTTTGGAGCAGCTGGTGAATTATTATTATGCTAAAACAGGAGCTTCAGGGGAGTGAAATTGAAGTAGCTTCTGAAAAATACATTTGTTAAAAAAAAACCCATCCAGGTTTTGCTTAATTCACTTGCAGCACAGCATTTGGGACTGCACCAGTATTTTTCTTCTTTCAATTGCTCAAAAATGAAAGCATGTTTTAGTGAAAGTTGTTCTTTCATGCAGAGAAATCAGTGCTGTCTTGGGCCAGGGTAGGAACTGATGGAGCACTTGAGTTTCTCCTGTGAGGAGTTAAACTTTTCCTTGGCTCAGCTGGTTCACACCTGGCCTTTATTCTGTGGGCTTCAAGAAGGACCCTTGTATGTATGCAAGGAGTTTGGAGTTAGGAATAACAGAGATTTTTCAACCATTTGCCCTTTCTTAGATTTCTTGCTCTTGAAGTTGCATTTTTTCCTCGCCTCCCATCCCAGTGTCATTTTCACCTGGCTTTGTAAAGCAGCACACCTGCAAATGGTCATGGAATTATGGAATGGTTTGGGTTGGAAAGGACCTTAAAGTTCTTGTTCCAGCCCCCCTGCCATGGGCAGGGACTCCTTCCACTAGGCCAGGTTGCTCCAAGCCCTGTCCTTAGACACTTCCAGGGATGGGGCATCATCACCAATGAAAAAGTTAACAAATAACACCCAGGGTTAAGAATTTAACAGAGCTGGGAGGTGTTTGTACTCAGGTCAGAGATTACCTAAATTGCTTCAGAAACAAGAAATTAACTGAATTATCAGTGCAGGTTATTTGGATAACTGCATTTGTACATGGCTCACTTGCTGGTAAATATGTAAATACTGCTGTGTTTGTACCCGTGTCCCCTCAGAGGAAGCATGGGCAGGTTCAGAGCCAGGAGGGAGCTCAGCTCCACTCCCTGCTCTGCCTCTGCCTCCCCTGTGACCTTGGGCAAGTCACTCAGCCTCTGGAATGCCTCAGTTTCCCCATCTGTAAAATAGGGATAATAATACTCACCTACCTCGCAGGGGGGGTTAGTTCAGTGTTTAGAAGCACTTTGCAATTTAAAGGCGCTATATACAGTACGTAGGTAACATTGGTAGCAGTAGTAGGTACTTTTATTTTCTTACAACTAATTCAGGTTAGGATTTAACTGTTATGTCTGTTATGATAATTTTCCATGTAGGAAACTCGCATGGTTTCCCCATGAAGGGAATTTAGGGGACTTCTGCAGTAGACAGAGAGCAGGAGCAGCATACCCTGGAAGCCTAAATTCTGCCACCTTTGCTTTTGTGATTTATGCCTCACCCCAAATGTCACCTTCCTGTATTTGTGTTCCACCCCTTTCCCCACAGCCCCTGTAACACGATTTTTAGCAGAAACAGCCACTGTAAATATTAAGAGTATTTAAATAAATATATTAATGTATGACTATAAACCCTTACCTTTGAAAGAGGTTAAAATTGGTTGGTACAACAGGATTCTAAGCACGAGGGGGGCTCCACAGGCAGCTCAGCAGTGGTGCACACCAGGGTAGGGCTACAGGGAAATTTCCCATCATCACCTCTGTGATCATCACCTCTCACCCCATCACTGGCAAGGAGAGCTCACCTGGGTGTCACAGGAGGGCAGAGGGAGGCTGGGACTGGAGCAGGGTGGCCCTGCTGCCTGCTCTTCCCCAGGAGAGGGGGCAGCAGCTCTGGGCACCCACCCAGGCAGCAGAGAGTGGCCAACACTGGCTGCTGGGGGAGCCTGGACAGCTGGACACTGTCCCCTGCATCCCTGGGAGGGGCTCCTCACCCAGATTTCTCTGTACAAGGTGCTTTCTTCAGTGTTCACTCTGGATAAAGGCCTTTGGTTTGAGCAAGAGGAGCTCTGAGAGGCGACTGGCAGGGCAAGGGCACTCTGAGCACTCTGACTCCCTGCCAGGGACAGGAGCACGTGCAGGTCCCTGCCCTGGGGACCTGCATGTTATAGACAGGGATATCTGGACAGTGGCAGCAGTGTAAGCAAGGATCTGAATCACCTCTGGGGTTTCTAGCAGCTGGAAACCACCCAAGCACTCCCTGCTCTCACACCATGATGTGTTTGTCCCCCTTCCCTTCCCTTTGGTGTTGCTCATTTCCTTCCCAAAGGACCAAAATCCCAAAGAAAAGCATGTTTCAGTTAGCCAGGAGGAGTTCAGTGCTGGCTGAACTCTCCTTTAAGCAGTCAGCTCCTCCTGCAGTGTCCACCCCTGTCCCACAGCAGACAAAGCTCTGTGCAGCCTCTGAGGCTGATTCCCAAGGGATCAGGACCCCCCTCCCACCTCTGCTGCAATTCCACACACAGAATGGCAAAAATCCATCAAAAGCATCCCAGCCACCAGGGCTGCCTGCAGTTAATGAGGGCTGGGTTTAACTGAGACCTCCTGGAGGGGTTTTTGGGATGGGACCCCTTCCCCCCAAGGGGCATTTCCAGCCCCAGCTGAGGGATGGCCCAGGGCTGCTCACACCTTCCCAGGTGTGCTGCAAGCATCAGGCACCCTAATTAATGTCATGGTGAAATTAATTGGAATCAGCAAGGCTGGTGGATAATGAATCCACTCTCTGGAGAAGGATCTAAAATAAACTGTCCCCCAACAGAATCTGCAGTTTTCAGTGAATGTGTGACTTGAAACAGCTCTAAAGTCACTTCCTCACTGGATTTTTTTGGAGGAGATAGAGAATACTCTGGGCTAGCCACAGCAGCTTATTTCCTAAACATTTCTAATATTATTAAATTACATTTTCACACTTCTTTCCCCGTTTCAGGCCCTTTTTACAGAAAACTAATTTCTATACTATTCCTGTAACTGCCTCCACCCAGACCAACAACTGCTCTGGAGGCAATTCATGACCAAGAACCATTGTTCTAAAAAGAAAACATGTTTCATCTAAGGAAGTACACTTAAAAAGCAAAAAGCATTTGATCCTCATCTTCCAAACCTTTGATAGCATTTTGTGCTTCAGGGAAACACTTTGACCTGCTCTGTTTTTTTTTTTTTAAGGTGTGCAAAGCAAAACAAAACCCCCAGGGAGATCAGCAATAGAGCTCAAACCACCCACAATTTCAGATCTGCTTCATTCCTCCCATACAGAATCCTGCTTTGGGCTGGAAGAGACCCCTGGAGATCCAGTCCCTCCTCTGTCTCTGACAGCCCCTTCTCCATCAGTCCCAGCCATGGGCACACCAGGGCAGCCTGTCCCCATCCCTGCTCAGCACAGCCTGGTTTGGGGATTGCTTGGGGGGTTTTTTTCCTTTCCCATCCCATTGGAAGCATGGGCACACCAGGGCAGCCTGTCCCCATCCCTGCTCAGCACAGCTGGTTTGGGGATTGCTTGGGGGGTTTTTTTCCTTTCCCATCCCATTGGAAGCATGGGCACAGCAATGCAGCCTGTCCCCATCCCTGCTCAGCACAGCCTGGTTTGGGGATTGCTTGGGGCATTTTTTTTCCTTTCCCATCCCATTGGAAGCATGGGCACACCAGGGCAGCCTGTCCCCATCCCCACTCAGCACAGCCTGGTTTGGGGATTGCTTGGGGCATTTTTTTCCTTTCCCATCCCATTGGAAGCATGGGTACAGCAGTGCAGCCTGTCCCCATCCCTGCTCAGCACAGCCTGGTTTGGGGATTGCTTGGGGCATTTTTTTCCTTTCCCATCCCATTGGAAGCATGGGTACAGCAGTGCAGCCTGTCCCCATCCCTGCTCAGCACAGCCTGGTTTGGGGATTGCTTGGGGCATTTTTTTCCTTTCCCATCCCATTGGAAGCATTCCCACATCAGCAGCACCCCTGAGGATGCTGTGCCCAGGGCTCAGAGGTGCCCCAGGAGGAGCTGACAGAACACTGTGATACCTTTAGCCAGCAGAGTGAGGCCTTTTGAATATAAATAGCTGTTTTTGAGCAAGGGGGCACTTTTGGGTCTTAGCTATTTTTCTGGCTATTGTACAGTTATTTAAAAACTACTGAAGGTGTTTATAAGGCAGGTCTGGGAGCTACAGGGCTAAGCATTTTGAGAATCAAAAGACAGTAGCAGATGCTTGAGTATTCTATTTTCTATATGGGAGCCCTGGAGACCTGGGCTGACGCTGAAGTTTTTTTAGCAATCAAGTTTTATTGTCAAATTAAATCTTCATTAATTAAAAAAAGCAACCACAGAAACAGCCTTCACACCCAAGCATATTTTAGAATGCCATTTTATTTCATGGAATAAAAAACCAGTGAGGCTTTTTGCCCATCCTCCCACCCCCTTCTTCTTTATTTTAGTTTTGCTCAAAAACTCCAAGGCCTTTTCCAGGCAAAAGAGCTTTTACACGTTGTAAGAATTTTGTGTATGCAAAGACAGAATGGGGACCTCAGAATCTGCCAGTTGAGTGGTAATAGCCACCCCTGGAGACAAGGGCAAGAGCAAAAAGCAAAAACAGATGCTTAGTTTTATGTACTTTTCTACTTGCATCTCTTCCACCCCTAGTGCAGACTCCATGTCAGACCCTCGTATAACCTGTACAAAATGAAACTATGTACATAACAAATGAAATTATTTATTTTATGTGTATTTTTAGCTTAACTGTAAACTGGAAAAAAAAAAAAAAACAAATAAAAAGCATTTAATTTTTTTCCCAAAAAATGTAAGCCTATTGAAAAATCAAGGTGTTTCTACCTTTTCAGATGTAACATTTCCAGCTGCCTATTGATAATAAACATTTATGAACAGCAACAGATTGGATATTTTAGAGTTTTTAAAAAACAAGTTCAGCACAGACTTCTTAAGGGCTGTCAGAGGAGCACTTAAGGGCTCTGATTCTATGGAGACTTTATTGGTATTTCAATAAAAATGACATCTCACAGTCCTGCTTGCCTCCAGTGAAGCTGATCACCCAGATTTGAGCAAGAGCTGAACAACACCTGGCTGGGGAAAAAAACCCAAACAACAAAAGAGCCCCAAAATATTCATTATATCTTGGCTACAACAGAAAATAGCAACCCACTAGAAGTGTTGGTAAATAAAATTCACCACATGAATGCAATTACTCCTGCACAGAAAAGTCTAAGTAAGTGTAATTTCATTTTAATTTACTCCCCAAAGATATCCTCAGACCAGCACAACTGCATTGGCCACACAATTAGCAATATAGCTAATAGTGTAAGGCAGTCATTAAGCAACAACGTATAACTGTATTAACATAATTTGCTTCTGGAAAGCTGTCCTCCAGCAAATCTCATTAAAGTCCTGGAGATCCATTTCAGGAGGTTTCCATCGCTGACCAGAGGCTTTTGGTCAAGCTTGCAGGAAAACAAAGAGTTTCCACAAGTTAAAGCACAGCAATTCCCTTCCCTTGGAATGCAGAAGATTCCTGCACAATGGAGGCAACGTGGACACACAAATTAATCCTGACCATGGCAAAAGCTGTACAAAATCCAGGGATCCACAGTTGCAGAAATTTAAATATTTGCTACAAAAGGCTATGCCTTTTTTTTTTTTTAATAGAAGGAGTTTTTGCAGTTGGATGTGCACATTCCCACTCACATCAGAAAGCTAAAAGCTGAAAGTTAAGGCACTGTCAATCTCCAGTTGTGCTCCCTATTCCAGAAACAGGGACTGAACCTCACCTGGCAGGGATTTGCACCCCCTCCCTGTCCCTGCAAAGCCAGGGAGTGACTCAGCACACTCCTCTTACTTGCACTTCCTCAAAAGTTACACAAATCACACATTCACATCACCACCACAAGCATCAAAAGAAACAACTTTTGCTTTCAACTATGACATATTTGAAAAGTACTGGTTTAAACAGGGTTAGAAACCACATGTCTGCAATTGATTGGAAAATGAAAACAGGGAGGGGAGGGAATAGGAAAAAAAAAGCCATAAAGGAAATTTAAAGGGATTTGAATGGTCCATCAATTTTATCATTAGGGGATATTCCACTTTCTCTTAAAAGTCCATTTTCCCAAGGCCTCATCACAGCTGTGAGCACAGACTGACCCTTGCCTTGGGTCACTCCAAAGCTTGTGGCAAAATGCTCAGCTGCTCCAGGGAAGGCAAGATTTAACATTTGGAATAAAAGTATTGCCATAAACAGAGCCTGAAAGATAAAACCACCCTGTCAGGGCTCAGGCACCTCTTCTGGGGCTGCAGATCACCCCTCTGGAGGGAGGGCTGGGCTGCTGCCAGTGCCTGGAATGTGCTCTGAGCTGTTCCCCATGTGCTGCAGCCCAGCTGACTGTGAAATCTGGTCAGCAGCAGAGACCAGGAGCTTCTAGATACAGGTCTGCCCTGCAAAATTTAATTTCTGATCTTATTTCAAAGCTATAAAGTTCTGGTTCAAGGGTTTTATCTTCCTCCCTTATGAAAAAAGCAGTGACTTGGAATTCTGGGTCTGGATTTATATGTTGAGTATCTTCCATGTATAATGCAGCCTTTGATGGTGTAATTTTATATAAGGAAAGGTATCCCAGCAGCACTGCTGAGAGAAATGGAACCTAGGAGTGAAATAAAAAAAAAACTGAGCTAGAAAAACAAACTTTCTGTAGGGATTGGTTTGGTTATGTGAGCACAGGAGCATTAGCAGGGGACAGCCCAGTGGCCAGAGCTGCTGGAGACAGAGCCAGCACAGTCTCTCTGTGCAGTATTTATCATTTCCTCAATCACAGGTGGAACTGCAGCCCCATCAGAGAGATGCAGAGCTGGCAGTGCAGGACTGGTGCTGCCCTGGGGGTGACACAGGTGACACCTCTGCAAGCACCAGCGTGGGCTGACTGTGCAGGGAGGGTGCTGAGATAACAGAGATGAGATAACAGAGATAACAGATAACAGAGATAACAGAGCTAACAGAGACCCTGGAGCCTGGCAGCACACACAGCTGGAGCCTGCTCCTCCAGACTCAAACACTGAGAAGCCAGCCCCAAAGCAGCACACCTGGGGGCTGGTCACTGCTTTGCCCACCCTGCAGGTTCAGAAGAATCACAGAACCATTCAGGATGGAAAAGACCCCCAAGACTGAGCCCAGCCTGTGGGTGATCCCCACTTTGTCACCCAGCCCAGAGCACTGAGAGCCACATCCAGGTGTTCCCTGGACACCTCCCTGGGCAGCTCATTGCAATGTTTAACAACCTTTTCCATGAGAAATCCTCCCTGGTGTGCAGCCTGAGCCCCCCTGGCCCAGCTGGAGCCCTGTCCTCTGGCAGTAAGGACAGGCTTGGCTCTGGGGCTCACAGGGAGGGACAGCACTGCATGCTGCTGCCACTTCACAAAGCCTGCAGGTGTTAATTTAATTTGAGCCTCTGCCTTTCATCTGTAAAAACACACTGAAGGAAAGGAGGTGGCAAGCATGACTAGTGAAAACTTGGCTGAACTCCTCTGTTCTCCCTTTTCAAGGCTGAAAAGCCATCCACAAAAAAATCCCCACAAAAAACCAAAACAAAAACCAACAAGACCCCCCCAAACAAACAAATAAAAACAACCCAAAAAAACCCCACATTCCAGGATCAAATCTTTGCTTTAAAAATTTACTATTAGGCAACATGATTCAAGAAGTCAAATAAAAATAAAATTTTAAAACATTGAGCTGCAGAAAAAAAATAATTCCAGATAGAAATCAATACTCATGGATTTTTTCATTCTTCTAACTAAAGATAAAATATGGTTATGGCTTCAAGCTGTATTCCAATATCCCCATTCACAGCAATTCTGCCGGGCATAAAAAACCCAGAGCACTGGTGTGGTACCAAACTATAACAGCAATCAAACTGAAATAATCACACTAAAACATGTGCCAGAGAGGTCTGGAAAAGCACCAGGCTGACATTGGCTTCCCCACCAAAGAAAAGACCCCAGCACACATCCTGAACATACATTAACTCCAACAAAAAAAAATCCCAGACCTCTCAAAGCAAGCCCCAGCCCTGGTGTAATTTTGATGTGAATTATCCTACAGCCCCTGGAAAGGCTGATCAGCCCCACACCCAGGGATGTTGTTTGTCTGTCCAGGGATGCTGCAGCCACAGCTGGCAAAGCCCAGCTGAGGGAAGGGCTGGAGCACAGAGCAGGTCAGCTGTGGTTTGGGCAGAGCTCTGGCTTTTTTGGCAGCTGTTTTTCTGTTTCAGAAAAGTGCTGCAGAGCTGTTGTGCTGCAACACAATTCTGGGAAACAGAATTTAAATTAAAGGCTCCAGCAATCACTTAAATTTCTGTGCCATTCTGAGCTCTTTTGCTGTTAATAAACAGGTGGCATTTCCTATCCATGGACAGCATTCACACACTGCTATCTGCTCCCCATAGCCCCTGCTTGCCAGTTCAAAAAGCTGAGTTTGAGGCTTAAAAGCCTTGGAAAAAATACATACAATGGGCCACAGAGGTACCTCTGTATATCAAATCCATAAATAAGTTAACTGGCCACATCTGACATGTTATTATATCAATTAAAGTAATTTTCATGTGTATTGAAATGGCCAGTAAGGCCAAAATAGCCATGGCTAATGGTGAGTAATCCAGGTCCTAGGTGGGTAAGCAAAGCCAAAAAAGCCAGGAGAATTCTAGCAGAATTATCAGTTTTTCCAATTAAAAAAAAATAGTTGAATTCCAGGGACAGACTAATACCAGAAGACAAAACACCACCACTGTGCTGTGCTAAGCATGTGTATAGAACACAGCAAGGCTGTCTCAGTGAGAGAGGAAGAAAGGAGGCAGAATTCCCAGCTACAGCCTGAAAGGGGAAGATATTCCAGTGCCTTCAGTGCTTGACAGAAACTGCTGGGGATATGACAGATGGAAACACACTCCATGACTCCAGCATGGAGACTGTGCTTAGCTAAGTGCCACTTCAAATTCCTTCAAATAAATCAAATAAATCCCAGGCTTTACTAGTTCCTTTAAGAGGTTAGGCCAGTGAATGCTCTTTCAGAGAAAAAGAAAAAATCCTCATGGTATTTTCTCCAAAAAAAATCTGTGCAAGTCAAGTGCTCCTCCAGAGGCAGAAACACAAAGGCCACTCATTATTTCATAAACAATTTTGTGTAAATGTTTTGTTTTAAAAGCAGCACAGCAGCTCAAAATCAAATTAGCTATTCAGGGGTCATTTTCATCTCGCTTTGATTTTTTACCTGGCTGCTCCATCTTGAAAAGCCAATTATTAAATTGCCAAATTAAATGTACAGCAATTAGAAATTGCAGTAGACAAACTAAAAGCTGAGCTTGCAGCCCTGCCCCTACAGAGTTAAATTCATGCAGCACTGTTGGTGTTGATAATGTAAGACAAAAATGTAACAAATAACTTTTTCCTACTATGGTTTTGCTTCCAGGGTTACTAGAAAAGGGATACCAAAGGAAATACAATTTTTTCCCTCTTCCAGTTCTGCACTTAATCCCCTTTTCACCACCACCTGGTTTTACAGAAAGGAAAAATTATTTTTAAAAAATCACCAAACAATAGAATGGGCCAATAGAGCCAATTTAGATTTTGTGTAGAAGGCTATTTGAGGGCCAAGCATGTTGTGCCTGAGTTTAGAGTAGGTGCAATTACCAGGAATTATTCTGCTTCCATTTCCATGCTGAAAGCTTTTGCTGCTTTCTCACAGAAGGCTAGAACAGCCTTGTCCCACACAGTGCATTTCTTCACTCCAGGCTGTGGGATAGGTAATTGTCAGGAACATTGCCTGCCAGTGATAAATGACCACTCATTTATTTTCAGGTGTTCAATGCTTTTATTTTGTGCTGTCAGTGCAACTTCACCACCACGGCCACCACCGGATGTGCAACAGCTTTCACAAAACAAATCTTACAAATATACAACAATACACAACAGATCAAAACATTATTCTTACACTTTCTACAGCCATGAAACCTATGCACCACAAAGTCAGACAGAAGAAATGCAGCTACTACAAATATGTGACCACTAGAGGTAAAGCAGCTTTGTTTTGCAAAATCTGAAAAAGTCAACTTATTTTAAACATTATTATCCCCCTCTAATGACCCTGTGCCCAGTGTTTACCTGAGTTGTGATGGCAGTGGTTCAGTGCTTCAGCAAGAACCAGGTGTTTAAGTGCTCAGTGCAAGCCCTCAGAGACACACAACATGTCTTTAGTCACAGCATGCTTTGTCACATGCTTCCTCTACTCACATCCAAGCTGTTCCCTGCACTACAGTACTTTTCTCCTATGCTTTCCTAATCAACTAAAGCAACATCTTGTCATCTATCAGTAGCATAAACCTAAAGAGAAACATGAAATTTGAACACAGTTTGAGCAAACTGACTCAACTCCCTAAGAGAGGATAACATTTACAAAACAATATTAACAAGAGCTGGCAAACAAGAAACGAGAAGCCAAGGAGGAGCCTCCAGCTCCCAGGTTCACATTCCCTGGGGTGCATCAGGAGGTGCAGGGTTAGGGGAGGCCATGTAGCCCACCTGGGGTGGTGCTGCTGAGCTCCCAGCCTTGGCCACAGGTGGGGAATTTCCATGGGGAGGATTTACTGGATGCCAGGTGCCAATGTAGCGGTAGGCAGGAACCACAGAGTCAAAGCCAGGCACAGGCTGCTGGCTGAAGGGGTCTGACACCACTGGGTAATACACTGGCCCATAGGACAGGGGTGCAGGCTCTGTGTTTTGGAAGTTTCCTTAAAAAAAAAACAGAACAGAAAGCACATTCACACACTTCAGCCACACTGATGGCCTTTTAATGCAGGATTTCATGAGTATGAAGGCAGCATTGCTCAAGTACAAACCATTTGCTGATGCCTCCAAGGGAACCTGGTGGACCTCAGCTTGCCCAGCATCAGGGAAGAGCTGGGGCACTGACTGATCCAGGACAGGAGCTGGCTCAGCATAGGCTGGGTAAACTTCCACTGGAGATGGGGGCAGCACTGGCTGCACGTACATCATGGAAGGCCAGCAGCTCTGGTGGCAAAACTTGCAGGAAAAGGAAAAACATGGTCACAGCCACACACTCTCCAGCCCTCCTCCAAATCACTGCTACTTTCAGAGCTAAAGTTAGGAAAAAGTGATTTTTTTTTTTCTCTCCTTAGCCCTTTAAGACATATAAACAAACAAAACCCCAATCAAACCAGCACAGCCTACCAGCAAAGATACCTGCAGCAACAGCCACACTGCTGTTGTGTCTGAAGTCTTTACAGAGAAAGAAGATTCCCACTTGCTAACTTTGTCATATTCAGAGATTTTTCCCATTTCTTCAGTTGAAGGAGCTCACATTGCTCTTTTTACTTCCCTGAGCAGCAGCACTGACACTGCACTTAACTACTGCCACAGAGAATGCTCCAGCAGAGCAGCTTCCCAGAACAGAGAAATGGTGCTAACCAGTCTGAGCTCAGCTGCACAAGCCCTAGGACACTCCATCCACACATCTCTAAGTGGTCTTTGATTTCTTATCTAAGCACACAAATTCTCTTAAGAATTGCTCAGGTTCTTCCCTTCTTTTCACAGAAAGAATATTTATCCACCATCAAAATACAAAATAAAAAACCCAAACACCCAAAAAATTAAAAGTAAAACTAAAAAATCACCACAACCCAGAGTAAAACAATTAATATGGTGTACTTCACATTTTGAGTAGAACTTTACTTCCTGAGACAGGCTTTAATCTCCATGAAGAAAGTCCATCCATATTAACAGTCCAGTGCACAAAATGCACATTTAGGACACTTGAAGTTTTGAATACATCAGTACATTTGTCAGGAAACCCAGCAGTTTTTACAGGCAATTGCTATACTCCTTTTAAAAGCACTTACTTGCAATCCCATATTAAAATAATACCGCAAGACCTTTGTATCTGAAATTAAAGGACAGGACATTAAAGAGCAGAGGAATATAAACCAAGAAGCAAAAGCAACTTACATTAGGAACATTTTACTTGAAGTTATTCTTACTTAATGAATAACAGTATTGCAGCACTACCTTTTCTTTAAAATTGCAAGGGTAAAGAATTTATCTTGAATAGAAATAATTGTTAAACTAGTTTTATCTTTTAAATTAAATCCAGTTAGATGTTTGTGCAGTGGCAGAGCATTTGTCTGGCCAATTAATTATTTAATTCAATGACTACATTAGCTTTAGTTTTGGTTTATTCATCTTGATTACTCAAGTGAGAACTCAAGTTTTTTAACAAAATAATCAAAAAAGTTGTCTAAGCAACTAGGACTTCCCACAGAGCTTCTCACCAAATTCTGCACCCCTCCAACTGATATATTAAGCTCAGTGGAGGCAGGAATAAGAAATAAATTCCTTCCTCACAAGGGTACTCAGTTCCCTACTTTCTTGCAGAGTCTTTTACTTCTCTCTTCCCTGTACTGAATAATTTGTCCCCAGCCAAGTAAGTGATAGGCTGAGAAACAGTCCCAGGTGTGGGAAGGGACTTTGAAACCTCTCTCCAAAAGTAACAGGGTTTTGAACTTGGAAACATATTTCCAACTGTCCAAAAGCTGTGAAGCAGCTTTAAACCTTTCAAGTTGACTCACTGAAAGGACCAAAAAAAAGAAAAAAAAAAGAGGGTGTGTGTTTAATCCCATGATGGGGTTTTTGAACTGCGCATGAGAAAATTTGATTTCTTAGATTTCAATACAGATTTGCTTTGAAGGCTTTGAAGGAAGAGCAAGTGACCTATTCCACAGCACAGCCTTTGAGCTCCCAGCTGTACTAAAGCCAAGGGAAGGCAGGGAGACAACTCAAAAGGAATTTTCTAGGGATTCAACTCAGCAACACCTCCAGAGCTACCACATTCCATCCTCAAACACCCACCCTGCCCTAGACCAGGCTCCACAGTGCTTCCCTGCCCACCCATCTCCCACACTTCCCCAGCCCTGCTTCTGTGGCACTTGGTGTTGTGGTTTGCTGCAGGAAGGCAAAAGCATCAGCAAAGCAAACCACAATTTTAAAATGCACGTGGATTTATTCCTCTGCTGCTGCTGCCAATTCTCAATTCTTTTACTGCTCAGCCCATTTATCAGGGCAACAATCCATGCAGCTGTTTCAGGAAATGCTCACAGATCCTTCCTTACTTAGTCCTGGAGGTATTGGTGGTCTGGCTGTAACACTGACCATGGTCAGTAAAATAGTAAAAATAACTCAAAGGCTTACACAAGTGCAAACCTTTTAATATCTAGCTGAAATTCCATCTACATCTGGAAGAAGCTGGATTTTTTTTAAAAACCCAATTTTGTCTTCAATTGTTTATGCAAATCTATGCAAAGCAAGCATAAGAGCTGAATGAAACAGCTGCTTCCATAGCAGCAATAACAGTACAAAGGAACTGCTGGGAGACTGAAGTGACAAACTGACACTGGAAATACTGACATCTGTGGAATGATGGAAAAGAAACCAGTACAGTAGGAGACCAGTTTGTGTTTAGATTCCTCTTTTAGATGCCTGGAAATCAAGTCCATCCTCTGTAGAACATGTTGCTTATGAAGCAACAGCTAAGCCATAAAAAGTTACCCATTCTGACATGAAAATATAAAGACCACATTGATGCCTGATAAAAATCTCATCTCATGATAGGAGTTTTCACTGTGCTGCTGAGAAGCTCTGGCCAGTACTGAACACTCTGTTTCTGGAACACAGCAATTTCAAGCAGGCTTTTATCAACAGCTCCTTCAAATACATGGCACCATGCAAGGGTAGGACACCTGAAGTTAACAAACACACTTGACAAATCCTAAATGCCATTAAAACAAGATACAAGATGCTATGAAAACTGGAATAAATGTAGATACAACCAATGCTAGAGCCCACAGCAGGATTTCCTCCCAGGTCCAGGACTCCAGTCTATTGACAAGTCCTGCTCTCCATCTATACCAGGCCTGGTGTCCTTAGCAAAGCACACAGAACTCCAGATCAATACTGCCCTACCCCAAACCTGCTGGGTTTCTTAACTTAAAGGCCATCATCCAGATTATACTCCAGCAGTGTAACATAACAGTACTGCACTGTAGCATTTAACAAGCAACCTTTAAAATTCCTACAGCCTGTGCCAAGGACAGCACCAATATGATGTGGACTGACTCAGCTGAAGAGCTCCAGGCAGGGTCTGGAGAGGTTAAAAATCCACATCCACTCCAGATTCTTGTCAGCACACTTCACACCCCATTCTCCCAAGTGGGGAAAGCCTCACTTAAAGGGCATTCAACTCCAGCTGGAGAGCAGGAGCTCTGATGTGTGCATGGGGTCAGAGTGATGCTACCACAGCAGGGAAGGGAGCCAGAACAGCCAAGATGAACAATTATTGGATTTGAGGGCACAGAGGAGGCAGCAGAGCAACTGCAGAGCACAGCAGCAGCAGTGTGAAAGCAGCAGGCTTGGTCTCTGCACTCACTGCTCAGTGTGGACCCGAGACACTGTCCCAGCTGATGGCAGTGTGTGTGACAAAGCTACACAGCCAAGGAACAAGCTGAGCCTACACTTCAGCCCTAGTCTGTAATACCACAGAATTACAGCTTGGAGCCATAAAGGAAAACAACCAAAATACCCCACTGAACCATGCAACAGCACAATTTATAAACACACAGTTCTTATTTTCATCAGTTATCAGGAAAGTGATTACTTGGCCACAAACAAGTATGATACAGGCCAAGCACCCTCTCCCTGGGCTTTCATTTATTTAAGGTACTGTCTAGAGCTGCAATAATCACATATTTGAGTCAGATACAAACGTTCTGTTCCAAACTGGGAATGAAAATGCTTTAGCCTAAGTATCTATAATATTATTTCTCATTCCTGTGAGTTGCAGAGAGCCATTTCTTCTCACTATGTATTCTCACTTGGTGTTCTGTTAAGCTTCCAAGGACAACACAAGTCAGAAGTGTGCTGGAGAGCAACAGGAGTAAAAATACAAAACCCCATCATGAATTACCTCGAGGCAAATCACTGCCACTGGGATCACAAGAATAAGCTGGAAGAACAGCACTGGCTTCTCCCACCTCACTCACTGGGGGAAGAGGAGCTGAGTAAATTGGGAATGGCACTGAAGAAACTGCTACAATTGGAAGGAAACAAATGTCACCCAAAAGGTTAACTTTGCCAAACGAGTAAGGTGTTAACTTACACAATTCAGCATGCACTTTGACACCTTGGTGCCCCTAAATACAGGCTCTAACAAAATTCTGTTTAGCAATCACTTTAAAAGGCAAACAGAAGAAATTTTATAACTAGATAGGAAGGTTTCCCATCTCTCAAGCCTTAACTGTGCTTCTATCTGCAAGCTGTATATCCCAGTTAAAGAAAAAAAGTATTTTTCAATTATTTCTTCATATTAGAAGGCAGACCAAACTTCTCTGTTGTAACAGAACAACAACTTTAGGCTAATCACCTAAAGTCTTCAGAAGCATGACAGTAAACCCACAAAAACAAGGGAAAGTTTGAGACATATCAGGACAAAAATCTTCTGGATAGACAACTGTTAAATATCCTTTTAGGTAGCCCACACCTCTAACACAGCAGCAGGTTGGCACCAGTGAGCAGACAGCTTTGAGAACCATGCTGACTAAACTCTCATGCAGAGTAGGAACAAAAAAAAAAAAAGTGAGACAGAACTGAGCAGAATGGAAGGTGGAGATGTCTTAGATGTTAAATGAAAAGTTATAGAAGACAGGAAAAATGCTCTTTGTAAGAAGGAAAACAGAATTTTTTCCTAACTGCTATTTTTCTAAGAGCAAAGCAGATAGAGCACTTAAGGTGGAGAGTGCACCCTGTGCACCCACAAATCTGATCTCCTTGCACAAAGGAAACTAAGGATCACAAAATAAACTGGAACACCTCAGCCAGTGACTCTCTGGAAGTGATGGTGTTCTAGAGGCTTGCTACCTCAAGAGGAAAATTAGCTGGAGGGAAGGGGAGGTGAAAGGAGTCACACTGAACTTCTGCCTTCTGAAAAGAATTTTCTAGCAAACACTTGGCATTAATGGTTAAAGGTGGCAAGGGGGGAACCCAAAGCAGAGACCTCCAATTCCCACAAAAATTCAGGGGCAACAGCCCCTTCAAAACAAGAAGCCAGCAGCCAAATTACAGCTATGTGATTTTAAACCAAAGCAAGTGACACTTTTTTAAAAGCCTTTTAACACTTGTTTTGGATGGGGGGGAGAAAGGGAGGGGAAAATATAACTGAAAACTTGGAAATCCAAGTCCACAGCTGCAGTCTGTACACTCTACCTGGCCTCCCCACAGAAAAGGGAGATACTAGGACAGGCTGCACTGCTGTTTGTGGGGGAGCTGCTGTTATGACACTGGCTGGAGTGGAGGCAGCAGAATTTGAAGAGAGACCTGTAGCTGGAGCAGTATAAACATCTGTGGAGGTGGAAACTGTTGCAGAGTTCACCAACACCTGGAAAAGAGTCAAGAGTATTCAACAGTCTGCCTCTGCAACTGGCTTTGACAAAGACTATGAAAATACCACACACTTCAAAAATTCTCACTTCACACAAATCCATCTTGTAAATCCTAGCTGTAAAGCTCCAACTATGCAAACTCTGTAAAAATTGGCTTGAAAATACCAGCTTAGAGTTGCAGACACCTGCAAGGCATCTTCTGCCTTGCTTGTATGTGCAGGGAATTGCATTCTCTGCTGCCAGAGGCTGTGAGGGGTCCCCAGAAAGTGTCACAGTCCAAGCAGAGTGGTCACCTCTCTGCAGGGCCACCACAAAGAAGTGTGAGATACAGTTCAGAGTACCAGACACTACCTTCTGGGGATAGCTGTAGGAAGCCACTTCATCTGCAGGTGACACCAAGACTGGCCCTTCTTCCTGAAGGGATTCCAAAGCAGAGCATGGTCCATTTCAGTGGCAAAGAAGCCACAAGGCACACACACCACACCCCTATTTTTTATTTTTAAATTTATGGACTATACACTCAGAGTGTCTTTTGTAGCTCAAACACAGTTTTATTCTGGCATGCTCAGGACTGCTTTCACACCCACTGTGGAGCAGCAGGTGACTAAAGATTTAGTTTCAAACAAAAAAGAAAATTAAATTCCAAGATAAGTTCTACCACAGATGAGATCTCTCCAGTCTCACAGAAGAGGGCTAAGATTAACTGGAATATAACCTGAAGGGTGGCCTGATAAAAGCAAGTGCTGTCTGGAGCAGAGAAGAAAAAGTAAACAGCACTCAAATACACATTCTCTCTTTGCAGAGGGAAAGGTGGCAAATCATTAAGGTATCCAGTGCAATTCAGACTGTACTTGCAGACTCAGATAAAAACCTCACCATTCAGGGAGGAAAAGGATGGTGAATATACAAAGGAATGTTGATTTCATTTATTTTATTAAGTCTCTAGCCTACTGTGCATCCAAGAACATTTTCCATGAATGCCACACACTTCCAAGATCTCAAATCTGAACAGTCTGCGAGTAAAACTTACCAAGTTTGCTGTGGGTTCTGCTGAACTAAACACTGTTGCAGTTTCACAGTTGGGATCTGGAGAACATAGGCAAAGTTAATTGAAAAGAGCTGCACTAAATCTAATCCTTCAGAAACATATAAAAAAGCTCATAATTGAGTGTATTACATTCACCAAATGTTCTATCAGTAAAGACTAAACTTTTACTTACCTGGAGATACATAGATATATTCCTCATGAAATTTCCCTACAAGGGAAAGAGAACAGGAAGTTTTGATTCAGGGGGAAAAAAGGGGAAGGTAAAAAAGCTTAAATCTGGAGTTACTGCAATTACACTTCAGTGCCTCTATTAATATCCTCCTTTCAGTATCATCTCACTTTCTGTCCTTTAGGAGATGTAAGGAACCTACTTTTGACAATGAAAAGCACATTGAAAATCTCTTAAACATATTTTTGCCTATTAATCCTTTAAGAACTCACCATTTTCACTTGCTTCTTCCTCCTCCTCTAAGGTACTCAGAGTCTGCTTGTTGGATGGAACAGAGTTTGGACCTCTCCTTGCTACCCAAAATGCCCCTGGACCATGGACAATGGGAGCATGGCTACTGTGGCTCTGAAAAGCAAAGTCAGAAGCACATATTTAGAAATAATTTAGAACCTTTCCACGCTCTATAGACAGACACACAGAACCAGGCTGGCAGACCCAGCTTGCTGCAACCAAAGCTTACTGGAAGCATCATCTCTGTGTCCTTCCAATGCAACAAACACTTCTTTCCTTTTCCTTCTGTTCTGCCTTGCACACTTAAGGCAATTCAGAAGCTTTACCATTTCCCTATGCAGGTAATCAAGCTGCTCCCTCCCAGAACTCAGCCAGCTTTTTCCCAAGCTCTAACAAAGCTGCAAAGGAAGGAGCAGATCCCAGACAAGGCTGCATTAGTGCATTCCTCATTCTAGAGCATTCCCCTCACACCAGCAGCAGATCAGTTCATCCAAACACTGACCACCATGGAAAAAGGTCATCTTCAGTCCCAACCAGGTGGCTGCTGGCACAGACAGCACTGTCTGCACCAGGCTGATCCACATGTGCAACCCTGACTATTTCAGAGAGCAGCACACCCCAAAGTTGCCCACAGCACTCCTTCAGTTTTTTACGTGCCCTTTGCTGCTGCACTGAAATAAATCTTTAGCTGCACCCCAGTTTAAGAGAGCAGTTCTCTGAAGGAGGAATGTAGGGTTGAGATGCTTCAGTAAAAGAAGCTGATTCACTCTTGTGGTGGCTAAGGTGACACTCAAAACTCTCCTCAGAAGCCACTGGTGACTATGAGATCGATAAAGTGCTCAGAGAGGCTTGAAAGATTTCCAAGGTTGAAGCAGAGATGGTAAGTCAGAAGATTCTCCCACCAGGCCTCTGGCAGCATGGCAGAGTCCTCTGTGAGATGCATCTTTCCCCAGGAAATGTCACATTCCTTTACTAAACAAGACAAGGAAGAGACAGAGAAAAAGCTTTGGCATTGACAATAACAAAGTCACTGAATGAGCATGAAAACCTATTCATTAGGAGCTGCAGGCAAGTCTAGCAAAGGGGGAGAAAAAGCCACTGAGCTGTATTGATTTCATGTTGGAAAAAAGAAATTGCAGGATAATGTGTCCTTATTCCTTGGCACTCTTGGAGGAAAAATCAGAGCAAAGATTACAGATCTAGTACATCAGAGCAAAGAAAAAATGACTGGTGCTGAAACAGCCCTAAGCATATTCTCTCTTCCTCATTTAAATATGAGTCTAACAATAGTTCACTGCTTCAACACAGCAAAATATTCAAATATACCAGGTTGGTTGTGGTTTTTGTAATCTGCTTTCTTATTCAATTTATACCTAAGTATAAATTGATTTTTTTAGCACTCCCAGCTTTGGACTAGGTTTAGGCTACAAAAAAGGAAAAAAAAAAAAGGCATTTTAAAGTTTAAGAATGCATTGTGCCACTTTATCTACAACTCAACAAAAAGACTGCTTTAAGAAAAGTCTAGGTAGGTTTGCAGTTTTTTCCTGTTTCAGTAGCAGAAGAAACTATGTCAGGAACAACATGGTAATCCAAAACATCACAACTACAAATTCATAGGGAAAAAAACCCAGGCTATCACTATCCAATTTCTGAATCTTGCTCCCCAAATGATAAATTATAGTGTGGCAAACAAGTGAAAAAGCTTTCTCCCACAATGTTTAGAGCTAGACAGATACGAACAGGAGGAAAATATTATGTTTTTAAACTGCAATAGAAAGGAGAAACATGATTATGTTTATGAAAATGTGCTTAAAAGAAAGCAAGTGTTGCTACTGAGGATACAAAGAAGGGAATACCTAGAAAAACTGAGGTTTCAAGCAGGTTTTACAGGAACTAGACTAATTTCAGTCTTCCATTGTCAAAAATGCGTTCACTGCTAAATCTTACTCCAAGTAAACCAAAAATCCCGCTGTATTTTTGGGTAAAGAATCACTGTGCATTTAGTTTCTCCCTCCTCCTCTCTTTCTGAGAGGCTTCAGCTTACCCTTTGTTCATAACTCACAGGCAGAGCAGGAAAAGCAGTGTCATCTCCTTCGATTTCACAGAAAGTGACAGTTTCCTCTGGGCCCTGGGGCTCCTGGGCAGCCCCTGGCACGAAGCCGTACTGGCACTCCTTGTTCACGCAGGGCAGCGGGCGGCGGCTGCGGCTGTACGAGCTGGGGAGCAAGAGAGGAGCTGAGCAGTCACCACCACCTGCACTTCCACCTGCCTTTGGCTGCTCAGTTTGAACTCAGCTCTTTCTGCAGAGCCACCAAGAAACCTGTTTTTTCACACTCTGCTGCAAACAGGCAATTCCTGCCCCAGCATCCTAGCCAATGCCTGGTAGAGCAATTTTTGGTGGAAGAGTTTTGTTGTCATTCACCAGGACAAGCTGTCATAACCCTGACAGCCTTTCTTCCCTGGGCTGGGGTAGAATGCTATCCGAGGGCCAAGCTGCTATCTTGCCTCTCAGTTGTTCACAAGACTGATTTTATTTCTTTTTATCCTCCCTGAAGTTAGTACAGCGCTCTTTATTTCAGTTGCTGCTTTGAAGAAGTATTTGAGACTCCTGGGCCAGCTCACTAACATGGGACTGGCTGGGAGCAGCCTGTGCTATTAGTGGTTTGTGACAACATTCTGATGCAGTTTAAGGTTTTTTAGAGCTTCCCTTGTTCTCTCTCCAGGTGATATATATATGTGTATGTGTGTATATATATGTGTATGTGTGTATATATATGTGTATGTGTGTATATATATGTGTATGTGTGTATATATATGTGTATGTGTGTATATATATGTGTATGTGTGTATATATATGTGTATGTGTGTATATATATGTGTATGTGTGTATATATATGTGTATGTGTGTATATATATGTGTATGTGTGTATATATATGTGTATGTGTGTATATATATGTGTATGTGTGTATATATATGTGTATGTGTGTATATATATGTGTATGTGTGTATATATATGTGTATGTGTGTATATATATGTGTATGTGTGTATATATATGTGTATGTGTGTATATATATGTGTATGTGTGTATATATATGTGTATGTGTGTATATATATGTGTATGTGTGTATATATATGTGTATGTGTGTATATATATGTATATACACACATCCATATATACATATATATATACACATATATACACACACCACATCTACAAAACATGTATATACCCACGTCTACAAAACAAAATTCCCTGAATTTAAAAGGGAAAGAGCACAACTACCAGGAGTGCCTGCCAGCTTTTTTAGTTTTACCTGAACAGCACAAACTCTCTCCTAACCAGTCTGCAGCAAGAAAAACAGGAAACAAGTGACCAGCTCATACTTTCAAAGCTTCCTACCTGGGCATGCCAGAGTCACGGTGCTGTCTAGGAGGGTTCTGCTGGTGGTAGGGTTTGTAGGGTGCCATGGCTGCAGCTCCCTGGGAGCAGTGGATGGGAGGGAAGCGCCCTGAGGGGGCACTGTGCTGCAGCCGGGGGGGCAGCACTGGCTGTCCCCTGCTGTAAGCCACAGCCATGAACACTTCCTTCCCACGGACCTTCTTGAGCATCCTCTTCCGTGTTTTCATATCCATTTCTGCAGTTTCCATTGAGACAGATAAGAGATTTACACTTTAAACCTGAGCTATGGCCTCAAATGATAAATTGAGGAATTAATATTTGAACCCATAGAGAAGAAAGCCAGTGGCTTGCTCCAGAAAAAGTGCATTGTAAATATGGACACTACAGACCCTTCTTTAAAAGAATCAAGCAGGAATTCTACATGATACATCTGACATGGGAGCACCTTCCCAGCTTCAGCTGATCCAATAAATACTCAGTGGTAAAACCTCTCTATGCATGCTGCATTTATTCATAAAAGTAAAAAACCTCGCTACTCCTCCTCCAAATTAAATTGAGCCCATATTTAAGTGGGTCCCTGGTCCATCCACACATCTCTGCTCATGCCAGGTCAGACAAGCTCTCTGGTTCACTGACATGTCTTTTAGATGTTCTCAAGTGGCAAATTTATTCTGGGCAATTTTGAGCAATACCAAATTTGCTCTGTATTGCAATAGATTTGCTCTTTTGCAAAGTCAAATTCATCCCTGTCTGAAACACAGCTTTCCATCAAACCCCTACAGTGGCCAAGTTTTACATCACAGGGGGAATTGAGTCCCTTCCAACATCCAAAGACTGCTACAGTTACAACTCCCATGAGCAACTCCCCTACTTCCCCAGGGAAGAAATGCTTCTGGAAGCCTCATACAAACCTATTCCTGAGAAGTGTCCACCTGTTACTTTCTGATAAGCTCCTCTTCTGTTGTGAGCCATATTCCAAGCAAGGACAGGAGCCACTTGTGACACTGGCTTTAAGTTTGCCAAAGGAACTGTGTGCCTGCAGGAAGGACACCCATGTTAGCAGTACCCCAGGGATATCCTCTTCACAATAACTTCAGCTGAAGCAACACCAAGACAGAGGAAATAGCTTGTGAAAATAAATAATCTGCTTCTCTGGCACCAAGCACACATTACTGCTACTTGTTTAATAAGAAAAGACAAGCTAGGCTTTAGGTTAAACACTATTTTAGTTTAATCACTATTATTTCCTGGGTCAAGTCTCTCTCCCCAGCCTATATTTGTGTGCCTCCAGAGGTACACCTAAAAGCAGGGGACAACAAGAATTTTTGCAGGATGTTGTCAATCAGAGGTTTGGAGGAGGGTGAATGATTGAACAGCAAGGGGGAGAAAGTGATTAGATTCACCAGAAGTGCCAATTATTTCGTTGCTTGGGTACAGCATAAAAACTCCAGAGAAACCCAACAGCAGAGGGCAATTTGCTCTCTGTGAATTAAGCCCAAACTGTAAAGAACAGTTTTACATTCCAGTGAAGGAAGAGCAGCAAGATTTCACACAAAGCATTACAATAATGATTTTGGTCATTAGAAAAAAAACCAAAGCCCTCAACCAGAAAGTGTTTAAACTTGAAGTCATCACCAGACTGCTTACTTTTCTGCCAGCTCCTCAACAAATACAGTCAATGTGTTGCTGTCCTGCCCAACCTCCTGGATGTGAGCATTGTAATACTTCTCCCCCGGTTCCAGACGCACCTGGAGAGAGAACAAGGAAAGCTCTAAAAACCTTAAACTGCATCAGAATATTGTCCACAAACCATGAACACAAAAGGCTGCTCCCAGCCAGTCCCATGTTAGTGAGCTGGCCCAGGAGTCTCAAATATTTCTTCAAAACAGCAATCAAAATAAAGAGCAGTGTACCAACTTCAGGGAGGATAAAAAGAAATAAAATCAGTCTTGTGAGCAACTGAGAGGCAAGATACCAGCTCCCTAACTTATTTTCATCCCCTGTGCCCAGCAGATAAGTGCTGCTTAAGAACTTGAGGAGAACAGAAGATAAAGTAGGAAAAGGAAAGCTTTGCACAGTAAGAAATAAACCACTGAGTGAATAATTAGCACTACCTTAAAGATTGATAAAAAAATGTGCCCTCACTACATATAACCTCAGAATACAAAGAAAACAGACCTTCCTTTCAGCATCTCCTGTCCAGATCATTCTACTCCTCCCTTTTTAGCTCTTCCCTTTTTATTTTATAAAAATATTTTGCTACTTCACTTTTGAGAAAGATAAGACTATCCAGAATTGTTGCTTAGCCCAAGTGAAAAATCTAAAGACAACTACATCAAAAGCACCCCCTTGTGCATTTTGAGCTCTGCCTGGAACTTCCACACTCAGAGAATGTGGATGACAGGTTTACACTGAATCCACAAACTGCTTTTCTATCAGACTACCAAGTTTAAAGGTAGATTTTTAAATGTAAAGAAATTACATTTAAAAGTAAAGAAATTACATTTAAAAGAACACCTACAGGGGAGAGAATTAGAAAAGCATTAGAGAATTCTATGAAGTCAAATGACTTTATTGTTTATCATAGTCCATTTAAAGTAGTTTTAACAGTTGATCATAACTGAGTCTCCTTTGAGTACTGACCTGACACTTATCTCCTAAGTAGTACTGTCTCCCAGCAAACACCATGTAGTCAGTTTTTTGAAGCTCTAAAAGGAAATGAATAAATAAATAAATGGGGGAAAAAGCCTTTAAGCTACTGTTCTTTCTTCACATATTCTACAAGTATTTCATGACAGCAGCCAACTACAATTTATAGGCCAATTGAATTAAATACTTCCTGTGCATACCTGAATATTCCCCATAGTAACAGTGGAGTAACTCTAGGTGTTCTTACAATAGCCCATAACCAGGCTAAGTCACATGAGACCAGCAACAGCCAGATAATGCAGCAAGCAGCACTGCTACAACACTGCAGCTTCTGTGGTGGCACAGAGCTAATCCTGCATTTAATATAAATCCTGGAATTAAAAATGTTGGACATCTCTTATCTTGCCAGAGTCCCAGTGGCACTTGGCAAACATGAAATATCATCTAGGAAAAGCTAACATTGCCTAAAGTCTCCTTGCTGTTAGATTTCAGCTTTTTTTACCTCTGTTCCTTGCCTGGCTTTTCTGCACGTCAGTATTCTACACAGATAATTGGTTACCACACTCTGTTCCAAGAATTTTAATGATCCTCATTACTGATTACGCCGTGGTGAAATGCTGGAGTTCGTCAGCATGCAAAGCACTTTGGGTCAGACATCAAGCATCACTTAAAAACTTATCTTTCTTGGTAGCTTCTTGCTTTACAGATCAGCCACACTGAATGCCAAAAAGCAGCCAACCTTTCTCAAGCCACAAGAACCACAAAATCTCTGCAGAATGTTCAAGCCCAGGAGGGCTGGGAGGCAGGAGAAAAACTCATCTGACAGATCTCAATGCTAAATTTGAGATCTTCATTATTATACAATTCTGAGGCCAAAATCGTGCTCTAAAAAGAAGTCTTTGCACACATGCAGTAACAAAAAACTCTCACATTTGAATGCTTTCCAATACAACAGAATGGCTACAGAGTTCTGTGCTCTGCTTTGAATCCTCCTATTTCCTGTGTACAGTCAATGAGTAGCAGAGATCAGGTTTTTAGCAACCTTGTACCATTATACAGTATCAAAAGCTGGGTATTTTGTGCTTTGAATGGCAGACAGGACACCAAGAACATGTCCTACCTACAGCTATCTGCTGGGTTCACCTGTGTCCTTCACATTTCAGCTGTGAAGAAACAGGTGACAGGACTCAAGATTCATAAATGTAATGGTAACCCTACTACAGGAAGAGTTTTTGGCTTTTCCCATTTCCAAAAGATACCTTTTCTACTGTCCAGCCAAACATCAAACTCCACATTTCGATAGATGGTAGAGTCCAGTGCCTTTAGCACTTTATAAGGAACAGGCATCTTTGGAGGATTTTCTGGAGGCTAAAAACAGAATTGGAATGGAGCATTAACAAGTGCATTTCATGTGTTCAGCATAGTCTCTATTCTGCAAGCATCTGTGCACCATTTAAAAAAGTACAGATGCTATTTTCCAAAATTTTCACTTCCACTGTATTTCCCTAAAAACTAAAACTCAAGAGTATGAAAACAGATCCAGGCACTCAGGTGCTGAGCAAACTGACTCTGGAAAGCAGAACAGACTCAAGAGTAACATTTGGAATTGTTCTGTACTCAAAATGAATCAAAGGAAGCCAACCAGACCAATGATGCCACAGCTTCAAAAGTAAGTGAGCATTTCAGTTATTGCATCTGAAAACTCTGTACAATTTCCAGAAGTATTCTGAAGCAATTTATACTATGGTCAAGACAAAAGTGAATTAATTTAAACCACATTCTGGGAAAAACAAACAAATCAGGAAACATCTGCTAAGCTCCATCTTTTGGGGGAAATAAAAATCAGCTAGAGAAGGACTAGAGAATTTCAGAAAGTAAAAGAGCCATTTTCAGTTTGAGAGAATCTCAATGGCAAAACCAAAAGACAAGCAGGTGAAAGAAATAAACCACCTACTAACCAAAAACAGATTTGTAGAAAGTGGTAAAGAGGATTTAGCCCTAACAAGGGTAACATCATACAACAGGAAAAAAAACCCCAAAAGCAAACTCTAAGGATTTTTTCCTGAACTGCCAAACCTTTTGTTCTTCAATGCTTTGTTTGAACTTGCTTTCCTGTGGATTGTCAGCATCATTGCCTTCCCAGTCATCCAGTCTAAAAAAATTGAAAATAAGATTACAAAAGCTACAACACACGATTTCCAGCCAGGATTAGTAACACCAACTGTTCAGACAACCTGAAAAAGCACCATGGTGCCATCAAGTGGCACATTGTGCCTTAAACACCAGCAAGGTGCAATGCAGTGCAGGACCAGCCTTTTCCAAGCTTTAAGAACTTGACCTTTGCTTGTTCCAATACCCACCCCTAATGAGGGCTACTGCTTGCATTAGGAAAGGATGAAGGTGATGCCACTGACTGAATTCTTGCACTGTCAAGGATAAAAAGACACTCTGTGCCAGGTACCATCAAAACCAATGCTGTCTGCAAGCATTCAGAGGCAGCTCTCAAGCCTTTCAGAGCTATGGAGGCTTAGAATACGTCTCTCATTAAAATATAATACAAAAGCTCTAATGAATAAGGACCAATTTTACTTACAAATAAGCTGTCATTTTACACAGTTACACACAACTATAGCAGAGCCTGCAGCAGAGGACAGGCAATTATATGGCACTTCCCAGCTCCAAGAAAAGCACACTCTCTTCCGTGATATACTTGAGCTTTGTGTTTGTGTCATAACACAGGAAGAAAAGAGTTAATATTCCATAAAATTCATAGAAACTTGGAAAAGTTGTCCTCTGCAAGGTTTTCAAGTTTTGTTTTGTTGTTTTTTTTTTTGCTTTCCTCTTACCAGATCCCCCTCCCAACATACTACCTCTTTTCTGATGGATTTCGGGGCACTTTTTCATGGAGACAACCAAAGTTTGCATCCTCACTTCCTACAGGAGCACTGTTTCTGTTCTTCTTGGATCCACTTCGAAACACCTCAACTGCAGACCTTAATTCTTCCTCATCCATGCCAAACACATCTTTGTAGAGGATCTCATATAATACAGCTGAACAAACCAACACAAAGCTCGATAATATGAGATCCATAAGAACTCCTGCAGTTTAAGGCAGGCAGATCTTCAGATATTATCTACTGTTACAAGGCTGTAGTGACATCAAATGCAGGTAAGGACAGGATCATAAAGTAACTCAGTTGGGAATAAGGGACCTCTGGAAGTCATTTAGTTCAAAACCCACTTAACAGGTGAAAAAAATGAATCTATGCATAAAAAATATACTCTCTTCTTCCCACCCCTGAAAACTGAAACAAACCCTGCCTCTAAACATATGAAAACACACAATTCTCTTTCACAGAAAAACGATTTCAAGTTTACCCTGGCAAATGGCAGCATTTTCCTGAAATTGTTTTGTATACACAGAGTCATAATGGCCGTTACCGGAACAACACAGTAAAATCTGGGAAAATTAAAAAAACAAAGTTTTAAGGCTGGAATGATGTAATCCCATCAATTATGATGAATTCAGTAAATTCTGATATCCTTTTATTCTACAGCTGACACCAACTCACCAAGAAAACAGTAAATATTCTCAATATAAACATGAAATGCTGAGCTTTTTTTGAGCTGCACCATCAGCTCAAAACTGAAATTTAGGTAAAGTCTCTAAGTAACTTTGTATCATACAAAGAAAAAAAACCCCATCTGTACATCCTGCTGTATTGAACATGAAATAGGAGCTTGTTTCCAAGACCACCATTTGCTCAGGAGGTAAAATAAATACAACCCATTGCATGCAAACTATCCCAAGCGTCAAAGGCACATTTCATCCTTCTCTACCTGCAAGACTAGAAGAGCATTTACTTCTGTAGCCCTTAAAAACTTGCTTTTAAGAAGCAAAAGAGATGCTTTCTGCATCACAGGCATTGACACATCATGTAAACACGTGCCACCAAACTTCTTGGCACACAACCACAGCCAACTGCAATGGGCAGAAGCCCTGAGGCAGCTGTCAGCACACTGCCAGCAAGGATGCTTCCCAGAAAACCAGCTCCCAGAAGGAGCCCAGATGCCAGGACTCTTAATTCTGGGTGCTCTGTGGATTCTGCCAACACAAGCTCTCCTCTTGTGCTGAGGAGGAGCAACACCAGAAGGAGCTGCTGCCCCAACTCAACAGTGTAATGCCAGACAGCTGCCAACACTTAATGAGACTTCTGGTGGGAAAGCCTTGAGCACTTGGACCATGCTGCTTGATTTTTAAACTCAGCTCATTCTGGAATTAAATTAAGCTACACAGGAAACCGTGTAGATGAAGAAAGAAGCACATGTAATGAAGACAGCAGTGCTCATCAACAGATCAGTAACAGCTGCAGCAGCACAGGTTCAGAGCAGACTGGCCACCTTGGCAAATCTAGCAGCTCACACTGAAATCTACACCACAGCAGCTTCACTGGCATCATGCCTGAAGTAGCCACATAATTGTGCACCCACATCTACACAACTCCAGAGGGGTCAGATATAAGGTAACACACAGTATTTATCCTTTATACCCCTTCCTTTTGCCCCTATCAGTGCTGATGTAGATAAGCTGTTCCAGTAACTCACTCTAAACCGGGATCAGTTTGTAGGTCACAAAAATCAATTTGTTACAGTCATCCCTTCCCATTAACTTCCCCTTTTCAGGAAAAAAAATTGCACAACTCATCCAGCTTCAGGAAAAGTAAGGAAACAGACTGGCAGGGGAACAGCAGGAAATTGCCCTCACTTCTACTGACCTTGTCTTCAAAGCCATTGTCTGTAGCACGTGTGGGTGCCTTCCCGGGGTACCGGTACACAATGAAGTCTCGCCTAGGTGAGCAGAGGGAAAACAGGACTTGCAAGAGCACACTCTCAGTAAATCATCTTATGAAGAAGTTTCCAGGGACCAGTTTAGAACTGTTGGTTTATAGAAAATCAAGCAAAACATTTTCCCTGATAAATGAATGCTACCATAAAGGAATAGCCATATGAGCAAACCTATCTTGAGGGGAAAACAAAAATTATCTGTGAAAGACCATGCTGCTTATTCATAGATTAAGTCAAGTACTTACACTTACAGAAGGGTGTTCTATTCAGTCTAAGTGATTTAGGCACCCTGCAAAAGGACTAGAACCTCACTGCAGGGAGCTAATAATTCCTGCTTTACTGCTCTTACTATTCAGTAGGAACAGGAACAGTAATTATTCTTACTATTCAGTAAGAACAGTAATTCCTGCTTTACTGTTCTTACTTAATTTCTGTTCTTACTATTCAGTCTAAGCGATTTAGGCACCCTGCAAAAGGACTAGAACCCCAGTGCAGGGAGCTAGTAATTCCTGCCAAACTTCAGTTGTTCCTTTAGTACTGGGACAGCGTGAGCCTGCAAAAAGGGGCTTCTATCTCCTACCACTAGAGAGCCAGACTGCTTTTTACAATTGGCATCATTTAATTAGCTAAATTCAGCAAGACAGCAGCACCTGCACAGTTCTGTGTTACCTCTGAAATAACCAGCAGCATTTACACACCAGGTAGGGCAGGTACTCCTCACTGCTGGAGCTTTCAAGAACACCTACATGAGTTTTAGCCATGCTTGAAACTACCACACAGTGTTTGCACTGCACACAGCTCCTCAGTTTTGCCCATTTTCCAGTCTTCAGCCACTAGAAGCAAACACTTGACATTCAAGTTTAATATCAGCAAAATGATAACAAACAAGCATCTCTGGAAACTGACCCTGCCCTCAATCCCCATTAGAACAGTGGCTGTGATGGCATCATTTACATGCCAGTTAAGTTTTTTAGGGAAGCATTTTTCATCCTGTTTCACACATTCACCTCTCAGTGGCAAACACACAAAGTTTTGGGGCCAGAATCCCTACACCAAGGGCAAAACAAAGTAAACCTTAAGAAAGGGGTACGTACTTGTACATCATCGATAAAGCACTCAATTCCAGCTGGCCAGCACTTTCCTATGCAATAGGATGAGATTATGTCAGATAGCAGAAGAATCTAAACATCAACAACTATATTCTACATTTCTCTAGTATTAAAATTCTGTACTATTAAAATAGCTATTCAAAATCATCAGTTTGTTAAAGCAATAATGCACTGAAAGTTGAGATATAAGGATTTGGGGGAGAGTGAGGTAAAAGGAGTCTGCTACATGGGGTGGCCACAATTTCCAAAATTTTTAAGACTAAGCTGCTCCAACACATCATTTTAGATACTTTTTTTTTTAAACCCACATTTGTTTCAGAAACTGCTGCACTCACCAAGATTACTGGTTAAAGACTAAAGAAATAGAAGTCTGAACAGCAAAGGAGGAAGCAGGGGGATTGTAAAGCCTGACAGACATTTCATTTAAGGTACACTCTACATATTTAGTTTTTTTCTTCTTTAAGAATTACAGTTATGAATAAGCTTTTACTGTCCAGCCTGCAAAGACTGCTCCTTTGCACCCATGCAAATTCCCTACTAAAACTGGTATTGTTTATACATGTACACTTTGTTCACATTTATCAGTACAAACCCTTAGTATTACTTATGTAATTCATTCCCCAAGATCTGGGTCTATCTAAAAAAAACCCCCTCAAACTCAAATAACCACATTTCAAATAACTATCTAAACACCTTCCTGATCCAGTCTCTTCAAATTTAAAACTCTTAAGTCTCAAATCAGGCTTACCTTTGGATCTCCTAGTCGTTCTAGGTATTTCTCAAATGAGCCTTCCACATACTTTAAAACAAAAAAAAAAGAAGAAAACAGATATAAAAACTTTGGCAGTTGGAAAGCAAAGTTAAAATTAAACCTAAAGACTGCTTAACAGCTACCAGCTGTTGATTTGGAGGGGGCAAGGCACATAGAACATAGGAATGATTTGGGGTATCAAGGTGAGAATACCAAGAGATTCTAAAAAAGTATTAAGGATATGAGTCCAAGTAATATTCAAGTTCCTCCTACATGAACTTGATGATTCAAGATCATCATTAAATGAAGCACTTAAATAAAGCACTAATCATAGATTAGATTAAGTGCTTAAATGTGATTATAGAGGGAAAACAAAGAAAAACCCCAAAACACATCAAAACCCTACAATACGAACCACACACACACAAACTGACACAGATAAAACCAACCAAAAAACATACCTCAAAAGTCCACGACTTTACAAAATTATTCCAGAATTTCCCACCATCTTTCAGTATTCATTTCTTGCTCCAAAAATCTACACATTTCCCACCTACTAAATTCTGCAATGGTCACGCCACAGAGAATATACTACACAAATAACTTGCCCCACTCACTACTAAGGTTTTAATAACTTGCTTATTTACAGGAACGTAGAACCAAAGTCAAATATAACTTGTGCAACTGCAACTCAATATAAGGAAGCAGTCACCCTGGAATTTCTCCTGTCTTTCAAGCACCAAGCGTGACAAACCATCGTGTTCTCGGTGCTAAACCAGAGACCTTCTCCCACAGCACCTCCCAACCGCACGGACCCAGCTCAGACACAGAACTCACGGTACTCACGGATTCAAACCTCGACTGCTGCCGCCTCATAAAGGAGACGCAAGCTTTCCTAACTTCTGCGTGATGAATTTGAGATGAAAACAGCTGGGAAAATAACGGTAACAAAGAGATAACGTCAATAGTTTAACTCACGCCTCGCGTTAGGCATGAATCCTCCAGTCTAACGCCACCACAACAAGAGGCGGTGCAAAGGCTGGGGGCACCTGGGGCACCTGAAGCTGAGGGGAGCCCCAGCGCCCGGAGCCGGTCGCACCCATCCCCACACACACTCCCGGCCATCCCCACACACACTCCCAGCCATCCCCACCCATCCCTCTGCCACCTCCTCGCTCTGGGCTCACGGCCGGCTCTCCGGGAGCTCTCTGGGGGCACCCCCGGCCCGCCCCGGGCCTGAGGCGCCCCGGCTGCCCCCACCTGCTGCGCACCTGCTCAGAGACGGCTCGGAAGAGGCAGGAGGCGTCCTTGGCCGTCATCTTGCGGTACAGCCCCAGGCTGCCCAGGTACTCGTCCATGGCCACCTCGCTGAAGGACTTCTGCCCGAAGTACTTCTTGGAGCCTTTGTGCATCTTCCCGGCCGGGGCGGCTGAGGCAGGCGCGGAGACGCGGGCGAGGCGCGAGGCGCCAGGCTCGCGGCCGCCGCTAATGAGGCGCCGCTAATGAGGCACCGCGCCCACCTGCGGGACGGGACAGCCCGGCCCCGGCCCCTCGGATCCCGCCGGGGCCATTTTGGGTTGCTTTAGGACAGTTTTTAGAGTGCCCGGCGCCCGGCCTGGGTGCGCATCCCAAGCCGTGGGAAGCGGCTCCTCCCGCAGCTGCCTTGGCTGAGCTCGCTCCTTCAACTTCATCGCTCGGCTGCGGGGAAGCAGCGCGAACATCGCTCCGCTGGTTATCCAGGATTGCCTCTGCGCTCCCGGGCTGGAGGCGAGTTGTTACCAGTGGGTTTGAAATAACTCCGTAGAAAACGTTAAGGGAATGAAGAATCTTAGTGGCTCCTAATCAAATATTTGGGGCAAACTTTGGGGGATTGGCAAAACTGAGCCTTGCACAGCTGTGCGGCCTGATTTCTGATTTATTCCACCTGTGGCCCTTTGTGTTTGATTTGAATGCTTCTATGTACATTTAACTTCCTCATGAAAATTGTACTAAGACATCAGATGGGCCAATTCAGGAGTTTCATTTTCTTGTTTTAAACAACAAAAGCAACACTGCCCCCCCCCCCCATCAAATAACGTCCCTGTAGGAAGGGCAATTAGCACCAATTATACAGTTCTAAAGTTCTAGAGCATTAGAAGCCTAAGAACATGAGCATGAACATTTTAAAGCTGAAACCCCCTTTGGTTTTCAAAATATTTACTTGAAGAAATCGATGTAACACATCATTGTTAAATTCGATACTCTAAATGGGAAGCTCTGATCAGCATCAAAGAATCCCAGAAAGGCTTGGGTTTGCCAGGACCATAAAGTTCATCTGGTTTGAACACCCCTGCCATGGGCAGGGACACCTTCTAATATCCCAGGCTGCTCCAAGCCCTGTCCAGCCTGGCCTTGGACACTTCCAGGGATCCAGGGGCAGCCACAGCTGCTCTGGGAACCTGTGCCAGGGCCTGCCCACCCTCACAGGGGAGAATTTCTTCCTTATATATAATCTAAATAGAAACACTGGATGTGAAGAAGTCCAAACTGATGGGTTATGATGGGGTAACACCATGCAAAAGGAGCGATTGCATTGCCAAGCCCATTCCTGTCCTATGTTTTACTTTGTGGGTAATCACCCAAACAAAGGGCAGCAAGTTTGCAGCTCGTGACTTTTTTCACCCGGATGCACCACGTCTTTTTCCCTTTTCAGGCTCAAATAGCTCAGTTTTAAGCTCTCTTTCAGTGCTTCTGTAAACACATGAACTAAGAGCTGAAGGCATTTGCAGGACATCAAAGGAACATCAACAAAGAGAATTTATTTCCACCTGTACTTGGCAAAAAAGGTCAAAAGACCACAAGGCATATGCCATGCCTGTAAAGAAGTAGTTTAGCTTGTCCTCATCAGTGGAATTACCATCCCAGTGCAGCTTTTGTGATAGAAATATGTCTGTCCGTGCCACAAGACAGTTCATACTCCCTCCTTGTTGGCATTATACTCTTTTAAGCATAAAGCTGAATGAGCTTGACACTAAATTGGAAGCCATTTAATATCAGTTAATATTAAATGATATTTTCTTTGAGTGTTTGGCCCAGTTGCAGATCTTAAGTGGAGGAGATGAGACATTTTATTCCAACTTTTTTATTTCTCTGTTTTGTTTATTGTAACTCAAGAACTTTATCCAAGAATGAAGCAAACTTTTCTGGCTGTCCAGGAGGAAAAGGTTTCAAAGCTGCCAAGTCCATCGACTGCAGTGTCTCCACAAGAGTGCTGTAAAAACAGACCAAAAGCAAAAATTAAAGAAGAAAGACCCATCCCATAGGGAATGTTTTTATACAGTTTTCTTTCTAAGCATCCATATGTAATTTTTTAGCATGGAAAGGAAGAGAATGCCCAGAGCAGCAGGCCCCAGCCAGCACTGGCTTGTAGGCAGCATTGCTGAGAATACACTTCCATCAGCTTCCTGAGACAAACTCAACTTTTAAACTTTCTAATCTTCTAAACTTTTAAACTTGTTAATGCTGGGAGACTGAGCAAGATCTGAGGCTCTGCTCCATAAACCATAGGAGGAAATCCTTCCTATTTGAACACATGGCAGAGTTCTCCCCTGATCACAGAGCCAGAAAGAACAGCTACATCAATCTGTTACTTGCTATTATCAGGCTGCAAATAAAGCTCAAATGCTTGGCACTGCCCAACACAAAGAAATAAAAATTCCAAAGCTGACAGAAGCACCAAGATAATGAGTTTAAGAAACTTGCTCAATTTAAATGAATGCCAGGCCTGGTCTGTTCAGAAAGCTCTTCTGAAACATATGAAACTCTGCTTGCAGGGTAAAGGAACAAGATGCAGACTAAGTAACGGGAGTTAAATTTTTTTCTGCCTTCAGTTTAAAAGTCATCTTTTATTTTTAGAGTGGAGTTAATCACAAGTAAAGAGAAAATAGTAAGATACAGTCAAAACCAGGAGAAAAAATAAACCTAACAGGAATCAGGATGAACTTTAAAAAAAGGAGCTAGGAGTTTTGGTGATGGTGGGATTTTTTCATGCATTGTTTGTTTGTGGGGTGGGTTTTTCTCCTGAAGGGACAGGCAGTAGATCTGTGAAATTCCTTGTCAGAGGGTATGGTGGATTCAGGAAGTTTGGTTAAAAGGGCAGCCTGAATGAGTACTTGAAAGACAGGGGTATTTAAAGTTACTAACCAGAAAATATCTGATTTATTAATCCCCTGAATCCAAGTGTTTTTCTTTTTTTCATCTAAGTACATGTTACCTCAAATGGAAAAAAATAATTATAAGAGGTCGTGGTCAAAAGGCTTGGTAAGTGTGGTAAATTTCTACCTAGTGTTAGTCTGTTCACTCTGGAAAATGTAATATCCAGATGGAGATTACAGAGAAGGATGTAAATGTCCTTGTTGCATTCTCAGCTGTGCAGTGACATGGACTGAATGCTCTTGCCCAGCAGCTCCAATCCATACCTGCAGTTACAGTAGAGGACATAGCCATCTCTGTGCAGCTGTTTGGCCAGCTCAAGCTGATGGTTGTGCATCAGCTTGTCATTTATTACTACTATTAGTGGTTTTCCTTTCTCTAGAGTCTCCAGGCAGCTACCAGCACCTACGAGAGAAACAGAAAACATGGTGAGAGATGAAATATCCCCTTACATGCTGCTGAAACAGGGAAGCCTCTTAAACAACCCAGCTCTAGCTGCGGACCTCAGCACTCCCAGCCAGCCCAGCCCAGGCCGGAGAGACCTCATCCCACGGACCTCCCGCAGCCCCAGAAGCAGGCGGGCTGTACCTGCGTGGCTGATGACCAGGTCTGCTCCCTGCAGGTCCTCAGCCAGCGAGTCCTTGAATCGGAACGCTTCCACCGCCACGGCCGGGCTGCTGCTGGGCTGCGGCGGCGGCAGCGAGCCCCGGCCCACCTGCAGCACCAGCTTCTGGTACCCGCGGCTCTGCAGCGCCTGCGGGCACGGCACCGGTGAATGGAGGGGATAACGGGGTGGGGGAGATGGTGGGGAGGGAGGATGAAGAGAGAGATTGAGAAGAAGGGGGGGATGATGGGGGTGGAATGAAGGGGATGAGGCGGGAATAGAGAGGGTGTGTGAGGGGTGTGCCCAGCTCCCGACGGCCCCGGTATCGCCGCCCGCTCCCCGTCCCACCCCGCTCCACAGGCCGTCCCTCCCGTTCCTCCACCAACACTTCAGGTTTCTCCCCCGGGAATCCCCGAACGGCCCCGGCGCCCTCAGGCACCCCGGCACCGCTGCCGGGACGCGGCAGGGAGGGCGGGGCAGCTCGTGGCGCGCAGGCGCCAGCCCCGGGAGGGGAGGCCCGGCCTGGCCCGGGGCCGGTGTCGGTGTCTGGGCCGGCTGACCTGCAGCGCGGGCGGGGAGCTGGCGGCGGCGATCAGCTCATCGAAGCTGGTGGTGCCCACGGTGACGAACACGGACTTCATGGCCGCCGGGACGGGCCGGGCCGGCCGCGGAGCCGCCAGGGGGCGCCGCGCGCCCGCGCACAGCTCCCGAAATGGCGGCCGGGCTGAGGGGAGGGACGGGGCGGGCGGGAACGCCTCCTTCCCTCACGGGCCCGGCCCTCCCTGTCCATCCCTGTCCCCGACAGTGGCTCCTCTTCACGGGTGTTCCCCTGTCCGCCCGTTTCGGCGGGGCTGGTGCCACTGCGCCGTGGGGTTCTCCCTGCGGTGCCACACCAGCAGCGATGGTGGCCGCTCTAACGAGCCCACTGTCCGGCAGCGTTTAGAGGCTGTTTCAGGCTTTTAGACTTTAAAGGAGAAGAGGTAAAAATAAATTTGGAAAAGAGATTCGGAAACTTTTGGCCTGTGCGTGTTATTTCAGAATTGGGGACGCACATAACTCGCGGACAGCCCGTGTGGGTGTGTTCAGAAGTGCCATTGCCAGAGCAGGGCCACAGCCACCTTCCCTTTACAGACTGACCCTGGCCCAAGCCTCCCACAACACTTACTGGGGGAGTAACACTTTAACTTCAACCCCAAAATCATGAATATTAAATGTGCTAACACAGTTATGAATATTAGATGTGTTAAATGTGTTCACTGAAGAGTAAGAATGACCCCTGAACAGTTGCACAAACCGAGCTGGCAGTTTTGTTTCTTATTAGTAAGTGTAACACAATGCACAATTTGCTACAAAGATAAACCAAAGTTAGGCATCTAAATCTATTTATTCCCTGAATTAAAGTCAACAGATGAGGTCACAACTGTATACACAGTTGTGTATACATGGTGTTGGAAGAAAGATGCAGCTTCTTGTGGAAACCTCTGATTGCCATGTTAATGCCTTGTTCACAATGCTCATTAGCCCCCTGTTGTTTTCATTTAGTATAATGAGCCACGCTGAAATGTTTCTTTATTTTTTGATTAAAGCAAGTAGTGCTGACAGCAGACACTGTCTGGG